TTTTTTTTACTTTATCAACCCATCTATTAAAGACAAACAACGTTATTCATCAAGCACGTTAAACGATAGAAGAAGCTGACTTGTTATATACACCTATATTAGAAACTCACGACAGCAAGGCTTGTATGAGATGCATGAATGCTTTACAACAGATGGTGAAGATGTATTGGACTCAAAGGCAGCAGATGACTTGAGCGTTACCAGTGATCTTTCATACACTATGGGTGAGCCCATCACAGATGACATATTACTATTCGAAAGCGCAGAAACGCCCATAAACGTTGTAGACTGTAAAAGATTTACTGTCGATCTTTTTCAGGAAACGTCCGGCTGTGTTGATGCAAGAGGTTATCAGAAAAGATGCAGTATTATCAAGAAACTAATAGATGATTATTACTATTTGCATGGAGGGTATCCAGAAGCAATGCAGTAGTATATAGGATTAATTAAAAGGGACAACTTGGAGGCTATGAAAGCAGTTGGCTGGATGCACTTACTTGGTGAAGGTGTCATCATGAACAAGGATAAAGCGACCCAGTTTTTCCAACAAGATGCTGGGAAGAATGGCCTTGACTCTGTATATATACTTCAGTTGGTAGATCAACATAACAATAGCTATAAGATGAAACTTGGCAACGCTGTAGAGCAGTATTCGCAAGATAGTGCTGAGGATAAAATGAACGATATAGGCTGTACATATTGTTTTGAATAAAATTATGAGGAAGCGAGGCAGTGGCATCTAAAGGCTTGTAAGAAAAATCATAATGAATCTATGGTTGATATGCATATGCATGATTTTGGTGCAAGCAAAAGTTATGCAGAAGTTGTTTTATGGTACAAGAAAGCTATAGAAGAGGGTAATAGTGCTATCATGAGCAACATAAGGAACCTTTACTGTAATGGAGAATACCTAAGCCAAATCTATGAGACAGCCATGCAATAGTATCGATATGCTGCTATAAGAGGAAATGTAGATGCAATGTTCAATATGGGTTAAATATATCATCATGTAAAACCCAACTATGAAAAGGCAGTGATATGGACAAGATAGCAGCTAGAAGAGGTTATGCCAATTCTATGTGTAATGTATTTTTCTGAAGAATACAAAACACAATATTATAGGAAAGCGTTAAAGTGGTATAAAAAAACTGTTCGTAATAACTGCAATAATTCCATTTACATTATCGGACGTATGTATCACGTGGTGAAGCTGCATCCATCACCAACAGCAGAGACAAGAGTTTGAATTATAGTTACAAAAAGGCAATGGCGTGCTACCTGAAAGCGGCTAAAACAGGTAGTTCTAGTGAAAATTATCACGCTATCGATAACGTTATTTGTAGACAACAGGTGCATAAAGTAGTAGAGAATGGTTGGACAAGAGCGATTCACTAGTTTAAACTGGCTGCTGAGAAGGGCAACCGCGATGCAATGTTCAGCATTAGCTGTATACATCGAGATGGCAAAGGTGTAGATAACAAGATATCAATGGACTGGTTTAACAAGGTGGCAGAAAGAGGCAACATCAATGCAATGTTTAGCCTTGTCTGTATATACAAGTATATGAAAAAAGACGAGGAAAGCGCTACCGACTGGCTTAAGCTAGCTGCTGATAGAATCAGCGGGTGGAATATGAATCGCTTCGGCTGTCTCTATCGGGATGGTGATGGTGCCGTGAAGAATAATGAAAAGGCAATGGAATGGTTTTTAAAGCTTATGAAAAGGGCAATGCTAACGCTATATATCATTGGTGGGATGTATCGAGATGGTAAAGCCGTAAAGAAGGACTATGAAACTGCAATGGATTGGTTTTTAGAAGCTGCCAAAGAGGGTAGCAGCTGCGCTATGTACAGTATTTGCTGCATGTATCGAAATGGTAAATCTGTGGATGGAGATAATATAGTAGCTATGAAGTGGTCCCAGGATGTTTCTGAGAGGGATAATAGTAACTCTATGAACAACATTGGATGCATGTACCGAGATGGCAACTCAGAAATAAAACTAACCGAAGACAACAATCTTGGCACCATGGGCGATATAGAAAACTTATACCGTTGCGATACTGACACAAATTAAGAATGTGATCAGAATATAGCTGACAACTACGATATTTATGATAATGATGTTGATGAGAAGCTAACCCTGGTTGATGTTGGTGGTACAAAGTCTAAGATGCAAGCTATTTTTTGAATAAATACGTTGAAAGTCTATTTTTATTGTATCCTTTTAGTTAGAAATTAAGATTTACCCCAACGGATTAAAAGAGCATTTTGGGAATTTTCATACCGGAGATAATTGGGTCAAGACAGCCGTATTTTATAAACACAATTCCTAGTGTTCTAAAGAAGAATGCCCCTCATCAAAGTGAAGCATAAATAACTTTTTAATCCATGTGAAAAAAGGAGACAGTATGCATAAATGGATTTTTTATTGTATTTAAAGGGAAGGGGGGACATAAATCACAATAAACATATATTCATAATAACAGAGTGTGGGGAAGTATATATATAATATAAACAAAGGAAATGGACAGGGGGGGAGTATATAAACTTAGACAGGAACTGTCTTGGGATGATTATCTGTATTTGACATAGAGAATTGTTCTGGACGATATATAACTAATTGTTGCTGATCATCACCTGTGATAGGAGGAGATGGTGTTTGCTTCCAACTATATACATCATTGTTATTATTATTATTTTTCTTAATGAGTGGATAGGTTTGTTTTTTGAGTATTTTGGGGAGAACCTTCAACATGCTGTAGAAGGAACTACTCTTTTTTTTGTTGGATGTAGTTTGAGCTGCTTCAATCAAGGTAGATGCAGACAATGAACGACGGTGTTGTAGCTTAGATTGTTCAGAGTTTATACCTAGTTCTTGTTCAATTGCTTTGACAGTGCTCTAATTAAGGATACGTGTTACAACATTCATATGTATCGTACTATATTTATATATCTGAGCGTGTGTGTGTACCTGTATACTGCCTAATATATCCTCGGATCGTACAGTGTCGTAGCAAGAGGGTCGATCCGTACCAGATAGCACAAAACCTTGTTCAATGTCTCGCTATGTTTTCAATGTAAGTGTTTGTTTCATGAGTATATAGAATGAATAAAACATACATCATAGATACTGTCGATAATACTAATGTTATCATATTCGTCAATCACTTCTTCTTCTTGTACTGACTCATCTTCTATAACAACAATGAATGATAAATATACAGAAATTATTAAAGAATATAAACCTACGACAAACTTGGGTAACAAGGTAATGCAATTCCTGTTTGAGACCGAATATGATTTCATCTTTTTCGCTCAGTCTATGAACGTATTCTTCTTCAATGGCCATGATTTCATTTTCAAACTGTGATCGCACTGTTTCAAACCGCTCTAAATATATACAAAAAAGTCAGCAACATTCTATAATCTAACTTGAATTTCGTATGTACCGCAGTAGTATTCCTTCATGGCCTCTGCTTCTAGTGCTCTAGTTCTCCACTTGTCAATGACTTCTTTTAGAGCAGCGATTTCAGACTAAAGTAGGGGAATGAATTTTTTTCATTTCTTCCCATCAATCATGTGTGTTACCTCTTTGGTCAATAATGCATTGACCAAGCTTTCATCTTTCTTTTTTCTTAAACAACCAAGTTGGCCGGCTGATTCACTATCGATTTGCTGCTCTTCAATTGTAGAAGGTTGTAAACTGTAGGTTGGACTCATTGTAACTTTTCAAAAAACCAAGATAATATTTGCCACTTGGTTTATATTTGTATCAACTGTGGGTCCGAACACGCTCAAACAAGCAAAGATAGAAAGAGAGGGAGAGAGAGAAAAAGAGAAAGAAAGAAGGGGAAAAAAAAGGAAAACGCCTATATATGGCGTAGGATATTTGTTGTACACACGTTTTTTTCTTAAAATAAGGAGACAAAAAGTTCATTTAATTTTAAAGCTCAAAAGTAGAACTGTGCCATGAATAATAAAAAAGAGAGGTAATTTTTTATTTATTTTTAAATAGTAATTATACACGCACGGACAATGTTATATTTACACAATTTAGTGGTTTAAGGCTCTTGGTTGTGTTTCTTGGTTTTGAGCTTGCTTCTGGGGGTTTTTACCAGCGTTTCTTGGTACATTGGCTTGGAAGGCAGCTGTATGGTTATGCAAGTCTTGTTGACGTCGTTGATCAAGGTCAATCTTGTCGAGACGATCCTTTTCCTTCTTCTCATCACTTTCATCATGAGATTTTTCTTCCAAGTGAGTGCGGTTAGGATTAGGCTGACTGATTCTCATGCCACCGGCTCTTTCGGCAGGAGGATGGGGGAAGTTTTCTAAATTGGAGGGCGTGTTTACGTTGTTTGGCATCTTGTTTTATAATAAAGTATTGAGCAAAAAGAAAGAAAAACTCGCTCTTTTTATAATATATCGTTCGCTGCATAACTGAAGCAATAACCCTAGTCTATAATATCATCATGACATATTGTTGTTGAATTGACATTTTGCGGTAAATCAAAACGATGACTAAACGTCATGGATAAGCCCACTGAGGGAAAACGATAATTTATTTTAGTATTTCCTTTTATAGAAATGATCACTTTAGTTAATCAATATGGAGACTCACCCACGTTTTTACAAACAATATGTTAAAAATTAACAGCTGATATATGCATTATTTCCGGAGAGAGACAGAGAGAGAGAGGTCAATAGTTCCATTGTCACCCCAGTTCTGAAGATGAATTCATTATAACACAATATGGTTCAGGGATCGAATGGGTTTATTAATCACTACTATTACATTTCTTTCTTTCTTTTTTGCCTTTGGTTCAAATGAAGAGGGCGTTTCATACTTGTAACATTAAAACGGATTCGTTTGGTCAGGGCGGACATTCTATTCTTTAAACAAAATGGCCAGATGGCGCTCATTAAATGTACAAAAAAGTATACCAAGATATGTCAATGCTATGTCAGGATTTGATAAAAGATAATACACAACAATAAGAATTTATCTTAAAAAGGAAAGGAATAACAAGACATTGTCAAATTGCCACAGCAGTTCCAACGTGGCAATAGTAGCAACAGGAGCTTACGTGTATTTGATCTGTTTACTAAATTTTTTTTACACTCTGAAGAGATACATGTAACTGAACAAGATCAACTATCGGAACTAAGTCGTTTTCCCACACAATTATTTTCGTTTTTAACCTCTTTATTGTGCCTAAATCTCAAATACTTTTCCAAAAAGGCAGTGTGTGCATAAGGGTATGTTCGTGAGCACACAAAGGTTGACAAATCCATATGGATGTCTGAGATGATTTTATACTTGGCGACATTGAATAAAAGAAGCAATACTAACCTTGTAATAGTTTTTTTTTTAAAAACTTAAACGTTAATAGTGTGTTCCTTTTTAAACACACACAAGTATTATTTCAACAAACACCACATTGCTTCTCATCTTGCAACTTTTCTATTCTCTCTATTTCTGAAATTATAGGCGTCATTTTAAAATGACCTCTGCTAATGGATTTAACAGCCCTGTATCTGAACTTCAAGTAACTGATATTGCACACTACAAGAAAGGGATTGAGAGCCACGTTGTTAAGTATAGTGTTGAGTGGACTATAAAGAAGGCAATGATAAATACCACGGATCTAGAGTCATATGCAGTTGGAGGTAGACCACTTGCTGATTATCTTTGAAGAAGTCTGTATGAGTATCATCACGCTGGAAGCAAGCGACATGTTATGGCCTTGCAAAGAAGCTTGCAAAATCAAAGAAGTGGTGGATAGCCATGATCACGTACTCGAACTTAAATCCAGAACTCAGGCAGGAGTACAAGTCTATTACGACTTGATTCCCTCACCTAAAGTGTATTACCCCTTTTTATTCTTACAATGTGTCGGCGTTTTAGCAGCCGTATATACAAAGTAAGTGACACTACAGTTGCTCATTGACTTTAAACATGCTGATACACTAATTTTTGTAGGATATTCAACTTTAGTAAAAGCTACAAGCATCGGGAGAATAGAGAATATATGTATTTCAACTTTTTAAGTTGATATTATCATCGAGCCTGTAGCATTGGTTCACGTAGCCATGTTCATATTATTAAAATGTACCACTTCAACAAAAATATAGCTGATATGAAAAAAGAAGTTTTAAAGCAATTTATAACAAATTAATTTCAGAAAACTGTAACTTCACCTGCAGCAGCAGTCATTATTATAGAAGAATAATAAATATTAAAATGTAGCTTATAGTACTATAGAGTGCACTAAAGAATGCTTTGAAGAGGAACAAATTGAATTTATAGTGTAAAGAAAAAGCTCACATACTATTTGTTGCACAAAACACCCAAAATGGAAATGCGTCAAATGAACTTCATGAAACGAGATTCAAATCACCACATCAAAAATTAGTATAAATAACCTCTGGTTATTCTCTCTGTTTACTTGAATTTACTTACTTTTTACTTTTTTCTATTTTATTTTTATCAATAAATCTTATTCTGTGCCTAAAGTAAACCTTTGATACTTATATCTCAAGTAAATACGAGTTCCTTGAAGCAATTATAAATTCATTGTATCTCTACAAGTTTATCACGAGAAACTATTATCTTACAATATTATTTGATCTTAGAAGAAGGTACAGTGGCCACATAGTAGCACATTATTAATATATTCAACCAACAACTCTTTAAATCAATTAAACCAACCCAAACTTTAAATCAGACTATATACAGAACCAAAATTTACAATAGTGCTCAACGAGCAAATTTTTCTAAGAAAAGGAAGAAAATGCATTGATTTAGGTAGTCATGTTAATATGCAATTGGTTGACAGCATTTATACTTGCGTATAACGATCAATTCCCTTTTTGTCATGAATCTCTTTATTTCTATTTTCATAAAATAATTACAAAAGGTCTTATTCCACCTTGTCGTATTCTTATGTTTTTGAGGTAAAAATATTAGCTTGATAACATCATCACACCCATGGTTAGTTATTTAATTGTTTAAATTTCTACTATTAGGATTTCGTCAATGATACCATTGATGATGATTGTGCGCGAATGCAGCTGTTGTGTTTATGAAAGTCGCTGCACGAAGCAGAAAAAGACGTCATCCACGCCATTGTGGATTTGTAAATGCTTCATTTTAATGACGTCTTTTTATCTTACTCAAAATGCAGTCTGAATAGGATACCATCAATCCACGATTGTGCGTTGAACAACCTTTCCGAGGCCCATTTAACAGCGAGCTTCGTCCACCTGATGATGAACAGCCTTTTCTCCACAAAAGATCCAATGAACAACGCCCATTGGTATGCTTACCTCTCGTAATGTACGTTAACTGTTGCTCAATTATTTATTATTATTTTTTTGTATAGCTCCAATCTGGTTCCAGACGAGCAGTCAGAAAACAACGTAAATCGGCCAAATTACAAAGTCGATGTATATCAAGTTTACAAGTGCTTGCATACTAACGTTTACGGAAAGAACAAGGCAAGTAAGCCTATCATGTCTCCACAGTTGGCAAATGATTTCTGCCGTATTGCGATCTTCTGTAAAGATGCCCTTGACGAACAAAAGTTTACCATACAATTGGATTTCAAGTCACTGGTAAGCTTCTAAGCAAATATTATTGATCAAAACTCATTGATTTACCGTCAGATTAAGGTACGTCTGTCGCATGGTATGCTTTGCATATGATGTCAGATCAGCATCCTTTGACATCCCATTGAAGAAATGCGAGCTGCTCAGCTTGATTGGCCATCTGGATGATATGCTGCTTGTCTCAAAAATTCATGAGGCGATTTGCAGTGCAACAAGAGAAGATCAAGACTAACTTGGTTGTCCCACTCACTCCGTCTAGTATACATGAGAGTTCACGCAGCCAAGATAAAGCACATTACGCTGACTGTTTTGCCATCGTTCAGTTTTGTTACACGTGTTTTCCCAACTTTTTGTTACCCTCCAATAAAATACATCATCTTTATTATGCATTATAATTATATTGGTGTAAGGAGAAAGAAAAGGCAGTGCGAAATATTTCGCTCAACAATGCCAATATTGCAATAATAATAATGGCTTAATGCGTCGCTTGAGCAATTCATGGTGAACTTTTTTTTGCGTGGTAAAGGAGGCTTTTTATTAATTTATTTAATGTATGAATCTTTCAAATTGGCTACAGGGCAGCTTTTAAACCTGAAAACGTCGTCATTGACTTTTTTGAAAGGGAAAATACCTTTGCTGTATTAACTCTGCACAATGTACTAAAAATGGAAATTCCCTTTTTCGCCCCTCTTTTTCTTTACAAACAAAAATTCACATGGGAAGTAATCAGTTTTCCATAAAAGAAATAATTTTTCTGACTCAGTTTAGCCCTTTTCTTGCTTTATAATAAAAATGTCCAAACAAACCCAGAACGATGACTCTGATATTGATGACTTGTTAGACGGTAAGAAAGAGTGAGTACGTGCTTATAGCAGAAGTGCTTATCCATAAAAAGATGTCTTGGATACCATGAACCAACCACCACCCTCGGTACCAAAAAAGACAACTGTTACTGAAGTAAAAGAAGAAGAAAAAGAAGATCTCGATGATGTATTGGACAATGACGAATTTGCCAGACAATTAGCTGCTGGAATGGAAAATCTAATGGGCCAATTTGGCCAAGAGGATGACATGAAGGAAGCCTTTGAAAAAGTGTGGGCTTCTTTTGATAATAGCAATACCCCTGATAAAACAAGAGAAGCAGCCACCTCATCGTCCAAGACACCACAAAGTTTCCAAGAGGCTATTGGAAAAACAATGAACAAGCTGAAGGATAGTTCAAAGGAAATTGATGTAAGTGTGTGTATGTGTGCGTGCTTTCATTTGATTCATATTTCATATATTATTAGTCGACTATCGCAGAGGACTCGGAAGATGCGTTTATGGCCGAACTGATGAAGCAGATGGAATCATTAGCTGATAACGGTGAATTTGAAAATGTGTTGGAAGGAATGATGAGCCAGTTGATGTCAAAGGAACTGCTATATGAACCAATGAAAGATCTGGCACAAAAGTATCCCGACTGGTTAGAGAAAAACAAGGACAAGACAGACAGTAAAGAATATGAAAAGTATAAAGAACAATACAGTATATGTCAAAACATTGTCGCGACCTATGAATTACCAGATTTTGATGAAAAGAACGAAGCACAAGCAAAGAAAATTATGGACTTGATGACAAAGATGCAGGATTTAGGTCAACCACCAGCAGAATTACTAGATGAAATGGCTCCAGGAATGAACTTTGGTGATCCTAATGCTGTCCCAGATATAAAAGATTTAGAAAACTGTAATATCATGTAATAGCAAAACTCTTTATTGCTAAATAAAATGCACCAGCATAGATTTATGCTTTGGAAATGTCGCGACTCAATAGAGACTTCTTTATCCAATCTAAGAGAACAAGAGTCCTGTTGCGGAACGAGAAGAGGTTCGAAAGGTAGGCAGAGCGCCAAAAGACAAAAGTAGCTACGTGTATGTGTTAGGTCAATGAGAATTTCAAGTACAAAAATAGCATACCTGCTCCTCCAGATGCCAGATGTCCGAGTGGCCCCAAAGGTAAATCAGCAATAGCCTTTTCAGATCCGACATAGCTACAATAATCATATTAATATTTATGTGTACGTGCTTTGATTTTACTTGATTACCATAAGGATCCATGGTGTGTGTATTGGAAAGGCTTGATCTCCTTAATATAATCCAATTTCTTTTGAATCTTTTCCTTTTCCTTTTCATCCTGCGCCTTCTTCAGCTGAGCCTCAAGCGCATCACGGATGAACATTTGCTTAAACTGGTGCGCAAGATACTTTCCTTGTTGAGAGGCTACTTGACCTGTTGGTGCATATTGTGTATGAGTGGCGTCGCCAAAAGCATAAATATCCTCACAGCCCTTCAGTTTCAACCAGTCGTCAACAGCGAGGCCTTTCTTGGCCGTTTGTTCCTCGGGAAACTGTTCCTTAAGCTTTTGAACTAAGGCTGCGGTCGTGTTTCCTGTAGCCCAAACCAAGAGACCATAGGGCATTGTGCCGGCGGAGTCATCTGCCTTCTTTATCACAATTTCTTTTGGACGAACCTCTTTGACTTGTGTTTTGGTATGAATAGTGATATGCTGCTTTTGAAAGTTTTTCTCTGTATACTCAATCAACTGTTTCGAAAACTGAGGTAGTACATTGGGAAGCGCTTCTATCAACGAAATCTTGATCTTGTCAGCCAAATCAGGATACCAGGTGCGCAGATCATCCACAAGGAAATCATGGAGCTCGGCTGCGTATTCGATTCCCGTGGCTCCTCCTCCGACAACGACCATATGAAGCAGGCGGGTTACTTCTTCAGGAGATTGGTTGGGCAGTGCGGCATTTTCAATGCAGTCCATCAATTTGTTGTGAATTTTGCGTGCGTCTTTAGCTTCCTTCAAGAAACAGCCATACTTATCTACACCCGGTACGCCAAAAGTCGAATTACGAGCACCGACGCCAATCACCAAGTAGTCATAAGTCAGTGATTTGACAGGATGGTGGTCCTTTTCAGGCGTATGATCTGCCAAAAAAAGTGTAAATAAATAAATAAAAATCAAAAGAACAAAAACTCACCTTCAATGGTAATCGTCTTTGATACTGGGTCAACTGCAGTACATTCAGCTTCAAATACCTGGACAGCTCTTTTCTTATGACGCGTAATAAATCGGATGGGCTCAATAATTGACTTCATATTCACTGTGCCAACTGTACTGCTTGGTAAGAGTGGAGTAAATAAAAAATAGTTACGAGGTGATACGACCACCTATCATTTACCAGTGTTATAGACTGCCTCTCTATTTATATTGCGAGTTATATATACCAAATTATAATATCTTGTGTCGAGTTTCTTTATAAACGACGTCGATGCCCATCCACTTCCTAGAACAACCACCGTTTTCTTATCGGGATCCATGGGCGCTTGTACACGAGGATGACGCCAAGCATAAGCTCCTATACCCATGGTATAAGTAAGTTGTGTAGAATTGATGGGGGAACGTACCGTACACGCCATAGGACGCTGCGGCAAGAATGCCGTATTTGACTGCGGATGATATAAGTGCCCATTGTGGAAGATGAGTAGGAGATGTGGTACTAAACTGTTTCGTGATAGGAAGTAACAGTGGTTGTTTTACTGCTTTGATTGAGTGCCGCGCCGCCGTTGTATCTGTAAGAAAAGAGAAAAGCTAGCGTTTGAGTCAAGTGAACGCCGGAAGCATGCATGTATCATCACTTACTTCGAATGGATTGCATTTGTGTATTAAAAATAAATGAGAGAGAAAGCGAAAAAAGTGTTGGTTATGATCTAACAGTGATTTAACAATAATATGAAAAATCCATGTAAGTCAACCATACCTAATTTGGGAATGCACGCAATACAAGATGCGCGCCAATGAACAATGCCTTGTGTATTGAAAGGGGAGAAGATTAAGCCATGCTTTATCATTCTGGAATGTATGTTTTATTATTTTCATACAAGATATGCTTTTTTTTATACATGATTTTTATTTTGAATAAATAGACTTGTTAAAAAAATTTACTTTTACGGTTTGGTTCAAAAGTAGAGTCATATTCATTTGCCTTTGCTTGGAGATTAACAGATGATCCGTAAAGGTGCACCTTGGAGTCTTGAAGCACACCAACACGCATACTTGAAAGCAGGTTACGTGCAGCATTTGAGTGATTATAGATACCGCCATTAAAGGACTTGGTCATATCTTTGCCAATGCCAAACTCCAAGTATTTGCATCCACCAGGGTGATCAAAGTTTTCTACATCGTAAATCATGCCGTCAAGGATCACCCATCTCTTGTTTTGTGTGGCCACCATGTCATGAACCTCCTGTATACTGTAGACTGGAAGATCCTTGAGCTGTGAGCCAAACTTGAGCTTACTCTTGAGTGCGTTGACTTTCTTTTCCATCATTTGTACACGTCCCTTTTCGATTTCGTTACTTGGGAACGTCTTTAAACCATATGTCAAGCCGAAGAAATTGAGGGTCCTGATAAACCATTTGGTGGGATCATACTGGTACCAGAGGATAGCGTTTCGGTAGTCTTGGGGGAACTCGTGGTGAAAGTTGTGGTATCCTTCGCCACAAGTAACAAGAGCTGTAATCCATGAGTTCTTGGGTGTATGATAATCGTCATAGGGAGTGTCACCAATATAATGAGCAAGCGAATTGACACAGAAGGTAGCATGATGAACAAAGACAAGTCGACAGAGACCAGCAAAGACCAGGCCTCCCTTGAAATCGCCCCAGCCGAAACCAGCGACAAGTGCAGGGAAAAGGAAAGCCATGGTGGTTGCAAAGTAAAGGTAGTAGCGGTGTTGAAATTGGACAAGAGGATCAGACCTAAGATCGGCCGTATCAGCATAGCCTATTCTATTCTTGGGTCTATTGACAAGCATCCAACCGATGTGAGAAAAGAAGAAGCCACGCGGAGCAGCATAAGGGTCCTTATCAGAGTCAGTCCAGCGGTGATGTGCACGGTGTCCTCGAGACCACCATTGAATAGAGCCTTCAAATGCGCCAGAACCAGCCAAGCAGAGAAAGATTTGCGTTAATTTTGTACAATTGTAGGATCTGTGAGCCCAATAACGGTGATAGCCAGCAGTGATGCCAAGTGCAGTAATAAAATAGTAGAGAATGGACCAGTAGAATGTTTTAGTCTGTAGGGGTGTGTGTAGAGCAGAGTAGATGGCAAGTAAAGGTGTAGATGTCAACAAGATGGTTTGAAACCAATTGACATGCTTGGTAAAGTTGCGTAGTGTCGTTGGTTCATCGAATAGTGGAGGGAGATTAGGGTTTGCCATAGGTGGCTGTCGATTTTCGGTTTCTGTATAAGCATACGGGGGGAACTTCTCCTCTACGACAACTTGTGTTTGGGTTACAGACATGGTTGATAATGAAAGAAAGGTGCCATGAATGAAGAGTTGTCTTTATATATATGGCCAGATCCAAAAAAAAGGAACTGATTCTTTATCGATAAGGCATAATACAGTTGTTGAGCTACACTCTGGGGAAAGGGGGGATAACCTATTACTGGGGCCTGCTCTATAAATGTTTCTAATCTGAAGCTTGGCAGGTGCTCGTAAAAAAATCTATAGTATTAGAATGAATGGAACTTGATGATTTTTTATCAAAGGAATGGATTCAAAATACACTCACATGCTCTTATTCTACATATCTAACCTGCTTGCTTTTCCCTCTTTATTCTTCTTTTTGTTTTGCTATTTCTTGCATTGATAAGCCAGAGAGGGCAAAAGGGCAAACTTTGGGGGCGGAAAATGAAATCAGATGATATTTTACAGCCTTAAATGAAAGAATGGCAGTTGCTTAGAATTTGCTTTACATATGCTTATCATATGCAAATGTAAGATGCATTCAAAAAAAATGAATGCTGAATAGATCGCAAAGCCCTTTGTTGTAATAAACATTTATGAGATATGAATAGGTTTTCTATTTTTTTAATTTTGTGGTGCGATTTTTATTCACTTTTGAAGTAACGATTGATGTTACTTTTGTCCCCCATTTACCCTTTTTGATAAACTTGACACTCCCCCTTTTTTACCGCTCATATATTTTCAATGTAATATACATCAATGATACCACTGTTGTTGTTTGTCATTCCTGGCAAGATTTAATAGTTTATTTTTGGCGTTTTGTAATGAGTCATTCATAAATTCTACTTTTTCATCTACAAATCATAAAAAAAAGGGCGACATGCAAATGCAAAGATGATTTCTATTGTTGCTTGGTCAATCTCAAGTATTGATCGACCTGCTACCCTTTTTTGTTTTAAACCAATTTATCATAATGATAATTAGCAGCCAATTCTTGTTCTCTATTTTTGTGTTTGCTTATGACGTTTGATAAAGTAAATACATCATCATTAAAAAGAAAGTGATGCACCTTGATCTTAATAAAAACTGATACTTACGCTTTTTTTGTTCGATTGAACGCAATTGATTATTGTTCGTTTTCTTTTTTTTTTCCAGGAAACTGGGATCATCCACTAAATTAAGGTGACATCTATTTAATTTGAGTGTACGATTACAAAGACATGGAGTATACACTTGATTTCCAAAAAAGGAAAATATGACTGCTTGATTTCTTCAAACCCTCATCAGTATGAAGTCATAACGTCGTTTTGCATGAAAAAGAGGCAAGGTGTTTCTGGAAAGATAAAAGATATATATAACTCTTATTCTTTTTCTCTTTTTTCTTTTCCTTTTGATAATCTATATACTCTTATTATAATGAAAGCCAAGTTTTTATCTCTCTCTCTTGCTTACGCTGTATGTCTCGTTTTGCTTGCTACTGAAACACAAGCTAAAGGTAAGGGTCACATTGACGTGTATCGAGTCGAGTATTTATTATAATTAGCCAAAGAAACAAGATCAGTTGATGACCTTAGCAGCTGGACTAAAGACCAAGTCCAAGCTTACCTTGACAAATATCAAATCGTCTATGATAAAAACGCAAATGATGATACTCTCTTAACTACTGTCAAAAAGTATCGTGACGCTGCTATGGCCAACGCCAATATCTTTATCAACAATCAGTCTGATGTTGTCAACAGGTTGATTGATGCTGCTAAGATCAAGCTGACGAGCAGCTACAAGTTATCAAGTGAGAACGCTAATGACTTGATCAATGATATTCAGCACAGCTTGAAGCAATTGGAGCTCAGTGGAGCCTTAACTCGTGACAAGGTCAAGCATTCTCTTGATAAATTGCAACACAAGGCTGTCAAGCAAAAGATCATCACTGAATCCCAGTTCAAGGAACTGGCCAAGGATATTGAAGACAGTTTTTATAGTCCTACCTGGTATCAACGTCTCCTCAACTGGGCTCCTTCAACTTCGGATGTCTTTCCCGATGACTCTTATCATACATGGCTCAAGTCTACCATCACAAACCGCTTACAGGAAAACAAGGAATTGACAAAAGAACAGATTGCTGGCGTTGTTGATACTCTGAAGAATGCCATCTCATCCGCTTCTTCTTCTGCTTCGGATCTGTCCAAGTTAGGTGACGCTAAGTGGTGGCAAAAGTTGGGTAATGACCTCGAAAAGAATGCCAAGTTAAAACAGAACCAAGTCGAAAGCGTGATTGATTCACTTCGTGATGAAGTCACTGCTTACAAGATCTTTGCTATGGATTACGCTAGCGAAACATCCGAACAAACCCAGCATGTCTTTGCCCGCGCCGGTCAATACCTCAAAGACACAGGCAACACCATCTATGAAAAGGTCGTGCATCCTCTGAAATCTAACTCTGCAGCTGCTAGTGCCTCAGTTAGTAGTGCTGCCTCTGTTGCTTCTGAAGCTGCTACTTCAGCTACAGATGCTGCTGCTGAATCTGCCTCCATCTTGCGTGCCAAAGCAACAGAGAGTGTCAATGACGCACAAAATTCGTTTGGTCACTACTGGCGTCAAAAGGAACTTGATAGTTACAGAAAACTTGGATATACCGAGGCCCATATCGAATGGATTCAAAATTATCTTTCCAAGACATTCATGGATAAGAAGAACTTGACCAAAGATACAATCTATAATGCTATTCGTACCATTCGTCAGTACTTGGTTCAAGCCAAAGTACAAACAGCTGCTCATATTGATGCTCAATTAAAGTCACTTGAGGAGCTTATTGAATATTGGAGAAGACACGCCGTTCGCGATGAATTGTAAATAAGTTTACTATATAGCTTCATACTTCCCCTCGGACAAACAAACAAAAAAAAACTCTTCTTTACACTAATACAATGCATTATCATTCATATTGAAATAAAGTTTTTTTATTAAAAAAAAATGCTCTTACAATGATAAAATGCTTATCGCATGAAATCTTTACAGCCTGTTTAAATTATTCTAGTCTTCTCGCACGACTTGTCTAATACACAATGACGACTCTTTTATGATGACATGGTACGGTATTATTAAACAGATAATGCCTCCAAAGCAAGTTTGTTTCACTTTAAAGAAATGCATACATAATTTAGGTGTAGATCAACGTCACTCTAATTAAAGATTGCGTTAGAGACTGTCATGGTTAAAACAGAAAGAATTGATCAGCCGCGCAGCAGTGGGCGATCAAGCAAAATTTTATTATGGTATAAGGGACGTTGCCGAGCCTAAACAGCAACCATGGTTTCTTTATGGTTATCAAGTAGAGCACCAATGCTTCCACCACTACTAGCTGTGCTCATTCTATTATTATTATTATTGTTGTTGTTGTTGTCACTTGTAGTATCATGCACCCGTTCTTCTTCTTCTTCTTCAACAGTGGATTCAGCAACTGAATGCTGATTCAAGTACCCGTTCTTTTGTTTTAACTTTAAGGAATCCATCAATGTATGATATAAGTATTTATAAGCCCAGACATTGCCTCTCATTCGACGCATATCTACGATATAAAGACCAGGTAGATTCTTTATCCTACAAAGCTCAATACTGAATCTGACCTCGTCGCCTGGATCGACGGAAGGTTCACCATAGATAACACTCTTCTTTTCCTTTGGCTCGGGAGGAGGATGCTGACTAGCTGTGCTCGATCTGCGCAAGATGTTGCGAAGATGAGGGTTATGTGGTTGAGGATGATGGATAGGAGGCATCTTCTTGGGTCGCACACATTTCAATTTGTATTCGCCTCCATCTCGCTTAAACTCGAGCCCCATTGCTTTCAGAGTCTGCTTCACTTCGACAAACACTTGAGCGGGCGGTCGAGAGGTCAGTGCTTCCTGATCGACAGCACCGTGGTGAGTACGAAGTTTAGGATCATTCGATGCATATGCATTCGGTTGTCCACTTGATCTGTTGACAGTACCTATATCAATGGGGGCCATCAGTAAGACAAAATTCCTGTCATGATCGTTCCACACTTACTTAATGGTTTTTTCTTGAACCAGTCTATAAACTTCTTTCCGGCACTACGGTGTTTTTCTTTATCGGACATGGTATGCTCAGAAACGGAAGGTACCATGTGAGCTTGGTTGTCCGCAGGTCGATGCGATGTTGTTGTTGCTGTTGTTGTTGTCGTCGTCGTTGTTGGCTGACGTCTGTGAGCAATGTTGTCTGTCACTGAGTTTACCAAGAGACTAAGTGTCTTTCGTCTTGCACCCGTGGACGAGGGTCGTGCAGTCGAAGGTGTCGTCGCTGTCGGTATGTTGCTTGCACGATTGTGTCGTTTGTGAGGTGTGCTTGCGCTCGAATTAGGGGTTGGACTAGTATTATTTGTGTTACGACGCTGTATGCTGGATAAGAATTTAGCTTGCAAAATTGAGGAATGACTCTCTTCTGTTGCTGCTGATGCCGTTGCTAGTGACATGTGCCTTGTACGCTTTTCGTTCGTGTTACGTGGTTTAGGCGTGGTGCTGTGACCAGAAAGGAAATGGAGAACCTTTTCGGTGGACGAAGAGACAGTTGATTTGGGACGTATTTTGTTCTTTGCTGCCCGTTGTATAGGCTCTTTGGATGACGTTGGCTTGTTTTCTTTTTCTGGTGTAGGTAATTCTTCTTTTTTGGGTTCCGTAGTTGTTGTGGTGGATGATGCAACTGTAGATGAAACATCTTCCATGACAACGTCTTGTTGTTGTGGTGGTTGCTCTTGTTGTTGTGATGGTTGTTGTTGTTCTTGTATTTGTTCATTTTCTGGCTGGATGATGTCAAGGGTTGATGTACTTGCTGGTATTACTTGATCTTGCTCGGTGGTGTCTTCTTTTTCGGGCACAATGGCAAGTGACGACGAGCCTTTCTTTGTCAGCACACTCTTCATCTGTTCTTGTTCTTCGTCTTCATTAATATTTACAAATAGGTGTCTATGTGCACTGAGCCAAGGATGAGCCATAATTGTTTCCATAGTACATCTCTTTTCGGGATCTGGGACGAGCATGAGACTGAGTAGATCACAGGCTTCTTTGGATATATAGTCTGGGAATATAAGTGGTGTGCTCAGGATATACTTATACAGCAGGTTGATGTTGTAACTGTCTGGATTTGCTGGATCGTCGTCGTAAGGTAGATAACCGCAGAGCATAGCAAAAAGAATGACACCACATGACCAAATGTCGACTGCGGGACCAACATAAACGCCTTGATTCATGACAAGCTCAGGTGCAGCATAGCATGGAGAACCACAGGATGTTGACATTAGATCGTCCATGGGTGAAGAGAACTGGTTAGCAAATCCAAAGTCAGTAATTAATACATTTCTATTTCTATCTAACAAAAGATTTTCCTATTCCATGTGTCAGTATCAATGCACTGCTATCTAAAAAGATCCTTACCAGCTTTAAATCTCTGTGTACAATGCGTTTTTGATGCATGTAGTGTACACCACTCATCAGCTGTGCAAACAATCGACTAGCATCTTTTTCCTTGAGATAACGATGAGCTAGGATATAATCAAATAGCTCACCACCAGTAGCACATTGTAAGATGATACCAATATATTTTTCCGTTTCAATTACATCATATAATTCTACAATGTTTGGATGATGAAGTCTCTGTCGATTGTATCAATATTTGTGTAAAGTACAATATATTGTAATATTTTACCCGTAACACAGATATTTCTCTCTCCACTTTAGTCATACGTGATGATGAATCTATACTTTCCTTTCTGATCAATTTGATAGCTACCTACAATAGTATGAATATACATAACAAGGGGGGAAAGAAATAGATTCCAAAAAGCTACCTCCTGGCCTGACTTGATTTCGATACCAAACTTGACTTTACCAAATTCTCCTTCTCCCAAAGTTTGTAATAATAAATATGGACCAAACACAGTTGGTTTTCTTCCAGGAGGTAATTGATAATGATATAGCTGGTAATAGTATTGCCACCATGGTTGATTCCGCTTTTTCTCTTGGTGCTCTTCTTCTTGTTGTCGCATCTTTTGTAGCTCACTTGGCATTGCAGTGACAGAATAAGCTCTTTGTTGATGTCGAGACGGAGTTGGTTCGCTACTGTCGGCACTTGAAGGAATAAAACTCATAAAACTGTTTCGCTCTTCCTGATGTGAAAAAGTCATGGTTGTAAGATTCCCTTCTTTTGCTATCTCTTATAAAAGATATAAAACGTGACAAATCTCCTTTTTTAGGAAATACAAAAAAGGGGGGAAATTGGGAATTGGAGCGAAGGAAGAACAAAAAAGAAGAGAAGAAAAAAAAACACTTGAAGGGCTATAATAACTTGTTTAATCTCCGCTGATTGCATTCTAAATCTATCAGTGGACTTTATGATTTGCTTGTGACTATTTTATCCTGTCATGGTATCTATGGCAATAAAGAGCCCTACATTTTCGTTGCTATAAAGAATAACTGCAGTAGAATTCGTCAAAATCTTGTCTATTGTATTTCTCTTGAAGGTGTAACGAATCTTGTTTGATATGTAACAGATGGATGGTTCTTGTAAACATGGTTTTTCATCTATATTGTCCAATAAAAAGTTGCATGAGTTAAACTATGCTTCTCATCATCTTTACTGTGTATACGTGTGTTTTGTATGAAAAGTGAAACCTCAACTTCAATGATTTCTTTGTTTACTCTGAAACCCTTAAAAGACATGGTACTTTTCAAAGAAAAATGACAAAGAGACATGTGCGACAGTTCATAAAGAGATTTTGTTAGAAGAGCATCTTGTTATGCGTCCCTGAAAATCAATTTGCTTGGGCTGCATAAAAGGCGGTATCAATCTAGATAGGGACACCTTTCTCCCTTTTTTTCCGAATGAAACGTTAAAAAAGAAAAGAAAAAAAGAGGCGAAATAAGTCATGCGCTCGGGGCAGCTGATTCCCCGGAGCAGTCGCATCTGTCACACGGTCTAAAGCATAAATATGGACACTGGAGGAGGACTTTGGTCCCCGTTAGGGTTAGCTGAAAATGTAGTATGGAATAGTCAAATAGAATTCCTTTCTGTACGCCTTTCTAAAGTAAGCTACTTTTTTTTAGATTTTAGTTTTCATCTTCAAATAGCAATCGATGTTTGATTCTGTTTCTAAGACGATTAACTGAAGATGACGTCGAGGGATCATGCTGTTTATAGACATGTAATAACAAAAATCTGCCTTAGAACATTACAGAAAGCCTTTGAACCAATAAATGGCTGCTTTTTTTTAAGAGTTTCTTGTATAAACATGTTTCTCAAAATAAATCAGAACTACAACTGTTACAGATGAGTATTTTTGTGTATGAAATAGAGAGATTGGATTTCTCAATATGCTACATGTCTAAAAATATGTTTCAGGATCTAGAATGGGTACACATGGAATGGAGTCTTTTTTAGAGTTTTTGGTAGCTTCAACTATTACAGTTTCTAAAAAAAGATAGATAATAATATCCTATTACTGGATATGCAGTAAATAGCTTGTCTCAAAAACAAACTTTTTACCACCTGATACCATGGTAATATTCTCTAATTTTGTTAGTAAATGTGTCGACAATGAAAATAATCGTAAACGGAGGAAGTTGAAAGAGGAAGGGGGCGGGGAGGGTGGCCTGGAAAAGCAGGAGGTGAGGAGAATAAAAAAAAGTAAAACGGAAAGGTACGTTTGTGTGGCGATTTAACACGAATACGATAGATGAGATCACTACTTGAAACATAAAACATAAAAAAATGCAAGATGATGCGCATAATACGAAGGTATACAGTTTATTTACATATGGACTTTTTTTTTGCATAAAGGATAAAAAAGGGCTTAAACATAAACACTATTATCTCTTATAAAGTGATAGCTTAATTCGTTTTCATCTCCATGAGGTTCATCATCAGATTCTTCTTCTACTTCAATGGTTTCATATTGGAAATAAGTGTGGCGGTATTGTTGATTGAAGTAAATATTGTAGTCATCAAATGAGTAGATGCAATGTTTTAGTGGGCTTGAAGGTTTTGGGAATTGAGCCATGACCTGCTTCCAATTGAATACTCGGTTGATGCGAGGTGGCAAATCATGATGGTTCCAGGTGTATTTCCCTTGTCGATCATAGAGCAAGATATTCATGTTGAGACGAGTACAGTCCAGGGCATGTTCAAGTGAATCATCAATCAGGACATCAACACCAATTTCTTGACAGATGAGTGATTTAGATTTAGAAATATATTCAAGTTTTTCTCTTTCAGTCAAGTAAAGATTACAAAAATAGATACTTTCAAAGATGCCTTCATAAACAGTTAATATATACAAAATTACACATGAAAGCATATTTACCTGGGTAGTGCCGGTCAATGAATTTTTTTGTTTTTTCAGCGATAAATTGTTGCCTTGAAGTAATAATGACCAATTGAAAGTGTCTCTTTTTGAGCATCTTTAATGCTTCCAAGGCAAAATCCTTGACTGGTTTAATACGATCAAAATAACTGGAATCATAAAATTCCCTTATTTTTCTATAGGTTTCCTCTCTAGTTCCACCCCATACTTTCCAATAATCAAGTGTATGAAAATCTGTGACACCAAAATTAGTACAATAGGTATCATTGTGCCATTCAACCAGGCTATCCAATGTTTGGCAGAGTGTTTGATCCAAGTCCACTGCAATCAGTTTACGTGCTTCTCTTGTTGGCATGGTGATGGAAAAAAAAAAATTAAGGAAATTGAAAAATTAGAAAAAAGAAAAAAAGAGAAAAGGGGGATGCATGCTGTATATATCTAAATATATATATTTTTGGCAGAGAAACAACAGTTTCGGGAGTTTTAATTTTTTTTTTTTTTTTTTCAGCTCCTTAAAGGGTACTTATTGAAAAAGATTGACAATAGATATCAACACGATAACATCCTTATAATCCTTTGCATATTTTCTAGTAAAATTTTTCATCATGGATGTAGTTTTACCGAATTGAGTTCAGATATGAAGTACAGTGGCTCCATCCTCAAAGTTCGTTTTCCAATTTACCAAATTCGCTTTGGTCTTCGACTAAAATTTGCTTTTCTTACAGCTCAAAGTTCGTTTTTGTTATCATTAAAATTCGCTTTAATCTTACTGAAAACTTAAATTGCATAATGACTGCTCATCAGGGTGGTCCTTTATCAAAGCATTTTTGAGAATTCTCAACAGAACGCTGAGCGATGTTATGAAGTCTTTCTATTGACGCTTTCACTAGCCTCACTGATTCTAGTTTTCAATACTGTCCAGCGAACTTTGGGTTGTAAGAAAAGCGAATTTCAGTCGGAGACCAAAGCGAATTTGGTAACTTGGAATGGAAGATGCTCCTCAACAAGTAGCACTATATGCAACTGAGGTATAAAGTACGATGTGTAAAAAAATGGACAAGTACTTACTATTTTAATAATTTAGCTCGGAGAAGCATGGCGTGATTTGGTGCGGAAAGCTGGGCTAATGCTACGGGCGCTTCCTTGGGGGCGCTACATGGGACATCACTTTACAACTTTACACTACCAAAGTCTCTACCTTACCTAAGGCTGTCCAGTTCACTCTTTCTGATACAAAATGTGAATTTATCATAATTACACGTGATTGATCTTGGTTCTTTGTTGGTAGACTGACAGCATAAGACTAGAATATAAAAATGACATTTCTTTTTTATCTCTTTCTTGAAAAGAAACAATCCAAGATGACAACTTCATAAACTCATGTTTAGCTTGACACTACAGATTGAAAAGCTTTGCTGGACTTCATCATAAGTAGTGAATAGAGATAGCACCCGTAGTATTAGTCGAAAGCTGGTTGGACAAAGAGAGTATTTGCCTCCCGAGTTGTATGCCAGAATAATTCAAGAAATGTCATCAATCACAGCCAAGAAAATAAGCTCTTCTCTAATTCAGATGTGTATGGCCATATTTGACTCCGTATGTTAATTTGACAATCAAACAAGATATTAAAGCAAAGAGGCTAATATTACTACTATTAAGATAGAGTAGCAATAATGAAATGTACACAAGCGTAGATCTTCTTGATCGTGCTGAGTTGGATGAGTCCATTCTTGTAGCAGAAAAAAAGCTTGTTGTTAATATTTGTAAAACCTTGTAAGTAAAAGAAGTAAAGACTCGAACACAAGATTCATTTATTTTTAGAACTGACTACATCTATGACAGCAATGGTCTTAATATTATCCAAAAGTCTGAATCTTGCTACAGATTATATTTATTTGACAGCTGCATCAAGTTCACTATCAAGTACCTACGCAGCCGCTACCACGACATCTCTTTCTGGCCAGGACAAACTGAACTTGATTCGATGACTACCCAGTTAAAGCAGAAAGGAATCGATGATCGAAGATTCAAGTGCAATGCTGATGGCATTGTAAAAGCCAATGACTTCTCTGCGTCTGAAATACTCTTGACGGAAGTAACTTCTGGATTCAATTCAAACAAAAGTTCTTCTGCTACTTTCATTTCTGTTTCTGTCTTTACTAGATCAAATCCGACTAGCCGATTGAATCGTTCGATTGATAGTGCCTTGCAGTATTCGCTTGATCCTTCATTGCTACTTGTCGTCATGATACGATTGGCTCCGCTTTCAAGCTTAATTAAGCCATGGGTGACACCAACATTATTGGTGATAACTGTGAACATGCATGGTTGAATTAGGCTATTTAAGAGCATCATCATGGACCCTCGTGAGGTAAAAATAGTCATATCTGGGTATCGGAACTGGAGTCGTTTGTTCAGGATCCATTGTTTGGAAAATGAAACGAGCTGATGATAAAGTGGTCTATGAACTCTCTTTTGAATAAAAGAAGAGAATGAAAAAGTGAGTGACGATCTTGTGGATTGTATAAAGGACTGTTTATATACTAATAAAGAAAAAAATAGAAGGGGAAAAAAGGAAAAGATTAGGAAATACATCATACCGTAGTCATATGCTCTTGGTTGCATAAAGTAGCAGTCCACCCCTTTGAGTGTTAAGCTCCTTTTTGTCTATCTTTTAGAAATCACCTACCCCCCTCTCTCTTTCTCACTAATTCTCCTTTTTATATTTTTTCTTCTATCTCCCCTTCTCTCCTATATTGATGTAAAGCTCCTTGGTAAAAATTGACATTAGTCAAGATAACAAAGACTATGTTTCATAGTGCAATATATGCATTCACAAGATATAAGTACATAACAACAAAAGGTAAGGTATGTTCATTTGACAGCGACTATCACTACTATCCCTCCTTTTTTTTCTTTTCTTTTACTTGTATTTTTTGATCCTGTCAAGTTGGATTGATAGATCAGCTCCTGACAAAAAAAAAGTGTATCTCCTTAAAGAACCAGCTTTTTCTGCTATAAATAATAATGTTGATGAATGTGTAGGTTATGATCAAAATTAAAAAATCAGCTAAACTAAGTTTGTTGTGTGCCTGTGTGTTCATGTGTGTATGCGTATTATTTGTGTGTGTGCCGATCATCATGATTTTGTCTGTCATTCAGCTGCATATCCCTTTTATAAATATAAACCTCTTTTCTCTCTCTTTTTCTTTCTTTTCCTTTCTTTTGTTTTCTTCTGTTCTTTCTTTGTTGTCATGCCTCATCCACCTCTGGATACTGTTTGTAATAACAAAAATAACACCGTGAAAAATAACAGTGTAACTAGTAATAGAAGCACTTCAAATGTAAAGAAAAGTGATAGACAGAATGTAAATACAATGCGTTAATCACTCCTTTTATTCTTCTTCCTTTCTTTTCTCTATTGTGTCTGGTAGTTTCGTATATTTAGCCCAGTCATTCTGTTTCACGACAACTACAGTTGTGATCATCACCTGGTCGAATTAAAGAAGCAAAAAGTGAACGCTATGCTCAAGTACAATGGTCAGTTCTGGAGTCACATCATCCTAAGTACACGTTATGCATCCCCATTACACACACCTATGACTTCACCATCCCTATCATCCAATGATGATAACGATGATGATGACGATGAGGCCGAAGAAGAGATCATCATTGTATCTGAAGAAGAACAAGAACAAAAAACTCAAAAATCAGCATCCATAGAAATAAAGAAGAAGAAGAAAAGAAGAGGCAACCTACCCAAGGATGTGACAGCTATCCTAAAGGAATGGTTACAGGAACATTCAGGACATCCTTATCCTACAGAAGAAGAAAAGAAGCTACTTGTGCAAAGGACCAATCTTTCACTAAATCAGATCAGTAACTGGTTTATCAATGCTCGTAGACGATTACTTCCTATTCTATTAGCAAATCATCAACAAGAACCTAAAAAAAGCGTCAAGAGAAAATCAAGTAGAAACATAGAAGGTATAAAATGACGTATGCAATTTTTTTTACTTGACTAACAAAAAAATATATGCTATTATAGAAGGAGGCAATAACAAGAATAAGAGACTGCGTTCAAGAAATTAAAGATCTACTTCATTTCTCTCTCTTTCTCTCTCTCTTCCCCTCCTCTTTTGGTGTGTTTCTCTCTATGTATAGTGATTGTATTTTAAAGTTGTATTATTTGATAAATTGTTGAAGGCTCAGTGCGATGCATAATAGGGCATATATTTAGACTTTATAAATATAAATGTGTGTCAATACGGCGTAAAATAAGGAGAATAACTTGTGCTAAATACAAAGAGAGAGAAAAAAAGAGAAAGAAAGAGAGAGTCAATGACATGATTGAATATCTTCCTTTTTTGCTGGGATGGTTTGATTTGGTGGTGTAAAAGAAGCGTGTCTACATGTCTTGCAAAAAGTTTATATGAACCGAAATGAACCCGAACCTTTTTGAAATATTTATACATAAATTGACTTTTAAATGGATGAATCGACTTTGCCCTTTGTTGATTCATCGTATTTTATATAATCTTTCTGTTGATGTCTCCAATTGAACTTGGCCTTTTTGTTCTTTTGATACGCATTCTGTATGAGATTATAAAAGAATTTGTAGTAAAATAATAAATTATCATATTTGCCATCATAAGGTGCTTCATAACTTTCTCCATATTCCTTATATAAGTAATAAATAGCTTCTATAGTTGCTAAGTGCTTGTCATCTACCATTTGGAAACGCCAAAAGGTTGTCTTGCGAGGTGCGATGGTGACCTTTTGCATGTTTTGAAGTACTTTGGTCTCACGAGCAATTTGATTTGCTTGAATCCATGTACCGTCAATAACCACGATCTTATCAAATGTGTCTCTGGGTATATCATACAACTGCTTTGCGTCCTGAATAATACATGTCAGCCAATCATATTCACATCTTTTTTCGCTTGACTTACAGGTCCTGGAAATAGTAGGAGTGTTCTCTCTGGCTTTTCATATTTCGGAAGCTCTGGCCAAGTATAAAGATTGACGTCTTGTTCTGCGATAATTCTAGCATGGACAGCTGTTGATTTTCCGTCTAGTTCCTTTGGGTGCTTGATTCTAGAGAGTACATAAGTATATGCATATATATACAAAACAAGTATATTATTACATGTCTAATGGCACTGGTAACTTAACAAAAGGTACATCGGATCTGTCCATTCCAATAACATTAAAACACACATAACAAAAGTATTTAACTGATTTGTTGCAGGTTGGACATGGCTGTCTCTTGTCTATCTCTTTCAATACTTGATCGTTGCTTATTTTAAGCGAATCAAAAAAACTGGAATCATTTATTTCTCTTGATCGCTTTGCATTATCTTTTTGATCTGTTATTTTCTTGCTTTTCTTTATCTTCTTTGGTTGTTCCTACCTTGACTCATGTCAAATCTAGATTTGAAAAAAAAAATAAAAAAAATAAAAAAAGTCCCCCTGTCACATTTTTCTTTTTCTCTCTCTCTTTTTCAATCAATCTCAACCATGGCCCTTAGATCTCTGCCAAAGTCCCTGAAACTTGCCTCAGCTCATTCACGCATTTATACTGCACCTTCTTTGTTTCAGTTAAAAAAGCAATATTCAGGTAATGTACTTGATGCAGAAAGATATTAGGAAATGACTAAGAAATAATATTAGCTGCCTCTTCAATTCAAAAGCCAACAACAACAACAACAACAGCAACAACAGAAGCTACCACAGAAGCTACTACAAAATCCACACCACCTGAAACAGAAAGTAATCAAGACAAGACGATAAAAGAGAAAAAAGAAGAGAAAGAGATTGGATATGCATATGGTGCTCATCACTGGAATATGGAACGAGGAGCAGCTGTGGCATTAATCCCATTGATTAGCACTCAATTAGTTTACGGCGCTCATCCTATTGTCGATGGCCTATTTGGCGTTGTTTTACCATATCATGTATACCTTGGATTTGAATCATGTATTATAGATTACATCCCAAAGAGAGAATATCCTAGACTTCACAAAGCGGCGAAATGGTCTTTGGGAACTGCAACAGGCTTAGTGATGTGGGGATGCTATGAGTTTAATACGAATGATATTGGAATTACTGAATTTATGCAAAGGCTTTTTGCGGCCTAAGTTAATGAAAATAATAACAATAGAGTCTATTTTTTTTTTCTCCCTTGTAAAATTCGGTCAAAGATATTTAATAAAAAAATACAAAAGATGGGCCTTGCCACTTTAAGACTTCAGGAACGATTATTTGCTTTATATTACTTTATTAAATAATATATGCGATTGCAGCAAGTGACAACAAAAAAGACGTCTTGGGCGCGTGAAAGTGATGGGATAGTTAGTGAGAGGAACAATTATAACTCGATATTAGATTATTCCCTTTTTTTAAAAGCGCATTTTCCAGAGATAGCTGTATAGTCTGTTTTTAAAGATATATGAACACAAGCAGCAGTAGAAAATACATTGTTACGTTGCAAATGACCGCCCGTATATACAAGAGCCTTTTGAGCGTAAGTAACAGCTTTTATGTGCACATTGACACGGCACTCACAGATTAAAATTACGCCGTGGCCGATCCTTTTTTTTTTGTATTGGCTCCCGAGACCGATCGTGACTACTAAGTGTATGGGTCATTTAAGAGCACTCTGCAAAGAAAGCTCTGCTTTTTTCTTTGTAATAAAAAATATAAAAGATGTCACACCATCCTAGTTATACCATGGCCGGTCTGTGTGCAGCAGGGTAAGTAGGGGGGCTAGGGTAATCAGAGGAGTGTGATATAACTGTATAATAGAGGTATCGCTGGCTTTGTTAGAACACGTTCTGTGCCCTCTTTAGCTGCTGGTTTAGGCGTAGGAGCATTATATGGTGCAGCTGGGTATTTGATTCAGCAAAATAGAGATTATGGTCATGAGACTGCTGTTGCTGCCTCCGTCATCTTGGGTGGTGCTATGATTCCTCGCGCTATCAAGACGAGAAAGCCTGTCCCTGTCGCATTATCTGTCATTTCTCTTGCTGCGGGAACTTATTATGTTAAGAAGGTCATTGAGTATAGCTAAAGCGTATATAAAAATGACACAATAAAACTGCATACTTGCACAAATGAAAATGACCTCCTATACATATCTCTTTCTCTTTCCTTTTTTTCTCCCTTGATTACGCCTACTTGACACATTTCAAAAAGCGACAAACACACTTAGTGTGACTTGCATTTGAGTGACCGATATTTCTGCACTTTGAGCGATAGCTACTTTCATTGTTTTTCTTTTATTATTTTATTTTATTCAATGAATGCCAATCAACCCTTAAAACGAAGAAATGACTCAATTGAGGTAAGATTTTAGTCAATTGATTAGTAATGATACTTATACTTAACAGGACGTTTACGGTAAACGTTTAAATACTTCATCAGTACAAGACCAGACCATGGCTGATCCTCATCCGACTCACCCAATGATGATGCCACCTAGACCAAAAACACCACCATTAGGCATGACATTATCGCATTATAACCCACAGACTGGCTCTTATGTCGCTTCACAATTAACATCCAATCATGAAGTCAAAGAGACTATTTGCACTGGGATGACGCCCGTCTATCGTGCACCTATTGAACGCTATGGGTCGTTCATTATATAAATATGTACATACTGTAGATCATAATAAACACTTCATCATGCATGCGATGCTTCTTTTACGGCAGCTCCTTATTTTATAGACATATACTAGTCTTTATCAATTGAAATGCCTTTAACTTGTCTCAATAAAGTAGCTATTATTCCCCATTGAAATAAATATGTTTTTATTTCCAAAAACAGCATGCAATTCGGGGTTCGGACCGCGCAGGCAACAGAAAAGTCGATAAAACTGCTTTATTTCCGGTATAAAGTTCGATGCAGATTTGTGCTACGTGCAAGATAAAGGTCTACAACACAACAGTGGCGGTGTTTGAATATATTTCAGCAGTGACGCAGCATTCAAATTTTTTTTAAATTTCTCTTTCTTTATTCTTGTTTCAACGCGTCCAAGTTTGTCGTGTTCTTTTACATTTCTTTTAATAGACTTTAAAAACTATTTTTTCAGTTTAATTACTTGGACAATTGACAACAAGGGTTATGCCTTCACAACAACAAGGTAGACCTGTGCCTCTTGCTCATACAAGAGCATTTATACCATCCTCAACTATCGATTTCCCCACTCAACGTCGCTGGGCTGTATCTATATTCGTCTTGTTACAAGCATGGAAAACCACTGATTTATTTACAGTCTATCAAGCTGCTTATCCAGAGCAATATAGTGGCATCTTTTTCAAATGGTTCTTGATTGATGCTATATACATGATTGCTCTGTATATTGCAAAGATTCCATGGTTACAATTCTCAGCTCTCAAAACCATTTTCCTTACTGTGCTTTTATTTTGGATAGATCTGATTCTATTTTCTGTTCCTAGCGTAATTACATGTTTATATACTTTTTATATGCAAGTAACCAACTTTTTAATATAGGTTGGATTGACTGGTATTCTCTTTAAAAACTTTTTTGGTAAGAAAAGCCCAAATAATCTTACTACAGTCAACTTAATAATATCCTTAGGTGATGTTATTGGACAACAGATTGGTGTATCTTCAGCTAGAATGGTGAATGTAAAGGATATTGTACAAAACTCCTCGCACATCTTGGGTAGACACGCAGTTCATATTCTTCCCTATGGGTAAAAAAAAAGCATTCTCTTTATGACCATTGACTTATACCGAACTATTAGTACTGCAAAATTAAACGCCAACAATGACTTTTATTGTATATCTCCTGACGGCTCAAACAACCAACTTGTCTATATACCCATCATCTTGAACAACACAGTACCAAAATCGGTCTCACTTGCTCGATATGAGTTTGACACCAATGAAAAGACGGTCAAGGAATACAAAGGTCGCGAAATACAACGAGCTACAGAGATCTCTCAGGCAAAGGAAGGACTTCAGTATTACTACATCAAGCTGACAAAGCCTGGTGTTTACAAGTTGGAACAAATCATTTCGACAGATAATGTGGATGTTCGACTGTATGATCGACTATTGTTCATCTTTACGTGTCCTTCAGCTAAATTTAAGCCCATCAAACACGCAGAGTACTGTACCGAAGACCAGGAAACACTCGAGATTGATGTCTCTGGTGTACCTCCTTTCAAGATTGAGTATCAACGTAGCACAAAGGCTGGTCAACAAACAAATCTTAAATTAGAACGCATTCAACCTGAAGACTATACCTCTCCTCTTCAACGACTTCCTAATGGGCTACTTTCAGCTGATCCATCTTTCTTTTCGTCTAGAAAGCATAGTGATTACCGATGGGGCGCAGTACAGCAAGTGACAATTCCTTTGAATTTGACATTCCATTCGGCCGTGGATCAAGAGTATCGTCTCTCTCGTCTTGTTGACGGTGCTGGTAACGAGGTCGACTTGAAGCATGCAACAGAACAGACATTCTCTGTCCGTCCACGTCCTACTGTCAAATTCGAATGCAGTCAGACAGATCCGATCAACCTGTTGATTGGAGCCAAACACGCTGAACTGCCTTTGAATCTTCAAGGCACAGCACCCTTTACCTTGAGTTATACAGATTCAAATGATGCCGATTTGCACACAACTAAACTCAAAAGCTCTGATGATAAAATCCGTGTCAACGCTCCTGGGGAATATAACCTTGTATCAATTGAAGACAAGTACTGCAAAGGCCACGTCAAGCTTCCTTCTGTCTGTCAAGTCGTTCAACCACCTCATCCATCCGTCAAGCTGACTTCAACGCCTATTGCTTCCGAATGTGCTGGTGACAGCGAAGTGGGCATGAAGTTTGTTGCCGAATTGTCAGGCACCCCTCCCTATCACCTCGAGTACACTATTTCCAAGTTTTCGGGACATCATAAGCGAGTGCTGGTTGACAGAAAGGTGGAAAAGGTCGACCGTTCGCGTCACATCTTTTCGTACTTGCCAGAATCAAGTGGTGAGTACATCTACGAATTCAAGACATTGGCCGACAAGTTATACAAGGGCCTTCCTGCCGGAATCGATCCAATCTATCAAGTGGTTCGTCCTCAACCTGATGCTCGATTCAAGGGCCACCGCCAATCACACAAGGCACGTACATGTTTGGGTCAAGACCTTAGTCTAGATGTTGAATTATCCGGTGACGGACCATTTGAACTGGCCTGGACAGTGGGTGATCAATTGTACTCTGATGTAGCCGAAAACAAGAAATATACCATCAAATTACCTCCCTTTGATCAGCCTGGTCATTTTGTTGTTTCGCTGGTTAGAATCAAGGATATCAACATGTGTACCAAGGAACTCGAAGCGCGTGATTTTACTATTGATGTTCGTCATGATCGTCCTACGGCCTCCTTTGCGGGCGAAGAGAAAGCGGTTGCGGTGACAGAAGGGTCCACTGCTCAGTTGCCTCTCCGATTGACTGGAGAGGGTCCATGGTCTGTCGTGTACTATAATGTTGAAAAGGGCGAGCACAGCAAGGTTCGCAAAGTGTTTAAAGACCCTAATGCAGAAATTGAAGTACGAAGCGTTGGTCACTATGCCCTTGCACATGTGGAAGATAGTGTTTGTCCTGGTGATGTGTCAGGTGCGCAGTATGAGGTCAAATGGATCGACAAACCTGTGATCACAATCGCAGAAGGACAGACGGAACAGGTCTCCAGCTCGGTGTACGAACGACCTGCAGTCTGTCAGGGTGATCATGACTCGATCGACATCCTCTTTTCTGGCCAAGGACCCTTCTATTGCTCTTATGAAGAACAATATCAAGCGCCACGCAAGAGATACTTTGAAAAATTAGGAACTGAAGAGATCACGACTGGTCTTGGCCGTGTTCATTTACCGCTAAAGACAAATCAAGGCGGAAAGTATCGATATGTGTTTGACCGACTTGCCGATCAACGTTACTCAGACCCTTTCAAGATCCGTAACCTGGAAGTCCATCAGACAGTACATTCGAATCCCACGGTGAAATTCACATCTCGTACGACTCGCAACAGCTACTCTTTGTGTGTGGGTGACAATTTGATGTTTGATAAGGCACAGCCCTTGGAGATTGAGCTGACAGGTCAGGCGCCATTTACAGTTGAGCTAGGCATCCGTCATCAGTCTGATCTGAACGGACGAGTGATCACTTTATCGGACATCATGACCGAACGTTACGAGATCCGATTGCCCGATGAGCTCGAGACAGCTGGAGACTACCATCTGCAGCTTCTTCGTGTGAAGGATGCAAATGGCTGTGGCACTGCTGTGACCGAAACAGAACATACGCATATCAAGCTGAGCGCATTGGACATTGCTACCATCACACCTATTGAAGTATGTAGCGACTCTTGTGTAGGGGATAATCTTGAGTTCTCTCTGTCTGGTGTTGCACCATTTACAATCTCGTATCTCTTTAATGGTAAAACCGAATACGTAAAGTCCACCACTCCCCGACTCTCGATGATTGCCGATAAACCTGGTAACTTGACGATCCTCTCTGTGGGCGATAAAAGAAACAAGTGTCGCTCGTTCCCCAAGGACATGTCTCGTATCATTCATGAGGTACCTTCCTCTCGTGTGAGCGGTGGTCGAGAAATTCTTGAAAACATTCGTGAAGGTAAAAGGAAAAAAAAGACAAAGTGTAGGGCTCCATACTCATTTTTATAAAAGGCGACATGGTTCAAGCTGTGGTTGACTTGATTGGTACACCACCCTTTGACTTTGAATGGCGCAGAAATGAGCTCATTTGGGATGAGCAAAGGAAGCGTCATTTCAAGGGCAAAGTATTAGAGAGCCATTTGGTATATGATGTACAAGAACATCAGTATGTTATCAATACGTCCGTGGAGGGTATTATTGAGGTAAGTTTTTTTTTTTGAGTTTGAATCAACATATTCACTGTTTATGTTAGGTTGTGAGTATTAAAGATCGATACTGTCAGTACCCTCGTCACCATTAGAAGCAAGAAGAAAGACGCGCATGTTGTGTAAATAAAAAAAAATATATAATAAAGACTTTTTTAAAAGAAAAATCAAACGTTTACAATGTCATATTCATTTTTCCATGCTTTCAGGCTTCAAGCTTGTAGGAAATGCAGATTGACATGTTATTTAAATTAAAGCTTTGCGGGCTCTCCTTAACAATCTCTTTTAAATGTCTATTCTCTTTCTCTTATAAAATCTCTTCTTTATTATGCAAATATTTAATATCAATGTAATGACTGAAATAATAATCATTTCTTTTTAGTCGCAGACCAATGTTTCATATTACTTGGCCATAGAAGATACAATGGTCATATAACCTTTACTTGCATACTTACTCAAATCAGATTGACTAATGTGGTCAACTACTTCTTGAATCAAAGTAACAAACTTGGGATATCTGCAAGTATTAGCCAAAGATGTCTTGATTATAGAAGTTTTCTCAACAGTATTCTTGGGCTTTGGAAGCTTCGTTTTTGACATATTCATAGGACATAACTTGCTGAAGGAGCGAGAGTGATCGGTTCCACCACAAGAAGGACATCGAATTTGTTTTTGCTCATTATTTAATGCTTTATTTTCTTTTTCTTTTTTAAGCTCTTCAGTCTTAGCAATCTTGTCTTGGTATTTCTTAGAGGCCTTGATGGGAGTGGAAATACAACTAGTGGAAGGAATAGAAGCAGATAATGTATCTTAAACACTCGTATCTTTGTTAACTGTAGGCATAGATGTCTTTTCATTAATGACAATATTTGAGGGGCCAGGAGTAGATGTGTCCTCTTTAACATCTTTCTATTGCAATATTCAGTTAAAAAATAAATGGACCTAATAGATATTATCTTTACCTTTCTAAGTAATGGGGCTTCTTGAAAATCATCATTACTTGCTTCAAAGCTGTATTCTTGAATAAACTTGTTTGTGTTTGTGCAAACAAAGAAGAGAATCCGCGATCGATGGCTAAATGGATCCTTAATAAATGTCGCATCAACTTTATAGCTTACATACCTTTCCCCTTTTTCGCTCTGCCTTTGGAGGCAGAGGGTTATCGTCTTTCTTTCTTTTCATGTTGAAGTAAAGAAAAAAGGAAAAGTAACTGCGGATAGCCTTGTTGTGTTAAATTAACGATCGACAATATTTTTTTTTATTAATTAATCATGCTTTCTTTAATAGTAAATGTTTCTATAATGAAAAAACTCTCCACTTTAGACATATTACGCATCTAGTTGTGATCCTTAAAGTAATTATCTTTATAAAAGTGATTGGATAAGGACACTAAGATGACACAAGGTGTCATCTAAACAACAGGAACATTAATCGAAGGAGTAACGGTAAAGAAGGAAAAGAAGAGGTACAAATTCTAATGCCAACCGTGCGTTTCATGAGAAAGTAAAAGCACACAATGAGCTGGCATGTATGCAGCATGAGCCTGGCTGATTCACTGAAAGCATTGCTCAAAATCACATCCATGACGAAGACTATCATTTCTGCAGCTGCTGCTTCTCAAGGTAAGAACGATGTCACGGAAGTTTCTGTCAATATACTCAATAGGGATGATTGCGGCAACTTCTTCCATTGTTGGCAGGCTTTGAGTGCGTCTATCGCCTCCTTCGATCAAAAGCATTCTCATTGATGGATTTATTACAATATATGGTGATTCGCTTTAGGTAGAGCCATTGTTGCTAGATCTCTCCTCGCTATTGATGCTGGAACTTTCATGGTTGCTCAAAATCTCATACGCATGACGACAAATGCGTGCGAAGGGATTGCACTGGGCAAGTATACCTGAAAGGTTTCTTATAGTCTCCTAGTCCATTTATATCCTCTATCCTCCACGTGATCAGAAAGGTTCTTTTCCCAAGCCAACGAACAGCTCAAGCTACTCTGCAATTGATACCAGAAATTAGTCGCATTATCTTTGAGCCTCACAATGATCTATCCACCTTGGGATCTCAGATGTCAGCGCCTGGTAGATTTGACAACGCCTCCTTTTGGATACTCTCGTGCTCATTGGACAATCCCAAACCTTACGCGGAAATCCAATGCAGTACCTATTCTGATTGCCAAGGTATCTTCTGGTCATCTCCGTTTCTTATGGCATAAAGATTTCGAACTGCTAACACAGCCATGCCATCCGTCTTTGGCTCTGCCTCATTTGCTGCTTCTTCTACCTCAATACTGACAAACTTTTTTGGTCCCTGACTATGTCTCCCAAGGCCTTAGCACCATAGTTTCGCCTGTTACATGGCTACATTCCTACGGTTACTTTACGGCATGTCTGAAATCCCAGCGTGATCACCTCTCCAATGTACAGACTCTGTTAACAAGACATTGAGGCAAGTTTCCATCTCTTTGTGAGTTGCCCCCTCAAGCTCAACTTCTGGTTCTCAATTTTTGAGAGGTACTCTCTGCCGGACAAGCTCCTCACTGCAGATAAAATATGACCTGGGCTCCCTTACTTTGCCCCGATAAACGAGCAAACAACAGTTGATACGGACGTTCTTTGTTTCTTTGACTCGGGTATCGTAACAATCTGGAAATACCACTAGCGTTGCGTCTTTGATGACACTCCATGGTATATGGCCGCAGTCGTCAACAGCTTTGAATTGGAACATGGCATATTCTTATCTTCTCTGCCTTTTGAACGGAAGTTATCTTCCACTATAGACACATAATTTATTTTTTAAAAATTTTTTGTTAAATGAAGTCCACCACTTTCATACAAAAATAAGTGCACGTATAATATCTGAATAAAGTGTAATGAAATATATATATATATATATATGTGTGTGTATGTTTATATGGGAAGGGGGATAACTATGTACAATAGGAAAAATAAAAAGAGATGCTAATATCGTTTAGTCGCATGATCATTGCCAAATGCTGATGAAGGTTGATGAAGAAAAGCAGTAAGAGGCTGCTCTATAATAGTATTACTTTTAGTGGATGATTTTGTCTGCATTATAGATGGATGGTAGAACGATGATGGTGCAGTAGGATAAGCGTATCTTTGTAGTATGGAAGAAGAAGCTTGTTGTACTGGCACTGATTTTACTAATTGTTGTTGTTGTTGCTATAAACATATCAGTAAATGGTTCATGACACACGTGCCATTTTTCTTACTCTTTTTTTTCGCGTCATATCTGCATATGTCATGTAACTGATATAAGCTTGAAGTGCATTACGTCTATATCTCGGACGCGGTTTCTAAACAGGCAATGAATAATTTATCTTTTTTTGTACAAAGAGAAATAGTTACCGCATCATGTAGCGTCCTTTTAATTGAAAATGACTAAACAGAAAGAATATATGGTTAGATTCATATGACCTCCAAAAAAAAAAAAAAAAAAAAAAAAACAGTTGAATTTACCACAGTCGATTTCTGATTCAGTTTTGGTACCATTGTAGATCTAAATGGTTACAGAGGGTGAATATTTAGTAAATGCATTTCCTCTTTTTATTACCTTTTGTCTTGAACTCTGGAATATACATTTCCTGTCTTTGTATCGGATGGATCAAAGTAGGACTGGACGCGATCTAATGAATACATGTGTTTACAATAAAGTACTATCTATAACAGGGATGAATCCTTACTGCTCTCTAATGGCATATCACTTCCTATTGACAGTTTGTGTGTTTCTTGTGGCTTGTTGTGGAAGTAAGAAGAGTAAGGAGGTGGTGTAGAAGGTGCGGCTAATGAAGAATGAATAAATGGTGATTCTTTTCTAATTTTGGATGTATATATAGTTACAGTAACCATCAGATTGATTTTCAGATATAGACGATCGATGGTGCGAAACATACGTAGGTGAATCAAATGATCTGTAATGATGTTCTCTTCTGACTGGCTCCTATGAATAGGGTGTAAATGGTTCGTAAAGAGACATCGAGACTTTATTTTACCATGAATCTACTAAAAGGTCGCTTATTTGGACAATCCTCTTCTTCCCTTTCTCTTTTCTTCCCGTCTTTTTTTATTAGCATTAATAACAATGAAATAAGGGTTCAGCATCAACTTTCTCTAACCTAGCAAATTGTGTATAGACATCAATCTATTTGAGCGAATATTATTATTATTATGTTGGTGGCCTGTTTGATTTGCCAAGGCAACCAGGATCGAACCCGCTTCTTCTTCTTCATTTCTAGCAGTCTCATCATTTGAACAAGAGTAATAAAAAGTCATAAGTGACCGTGAATGTAAGAATGGGACGTGTAATAGGGAAAAGAAAAGAAAGAAAGAAAGTAAAAAAAAAAAGGGATTTTATTTAGTTTATAAATTATTTTTATTACTTGCATTCGTACAACCCATTGAAATAGGCTTCTACTTTTATGTTAATCATCTCGTCACATGCATATAAAGGCTAGAAAGAATGAAAGGGGGATTTTTGACATCATCATCATCCCTATTTCCAATTTGAGTTACAGGGTATCACATATATGCACTTTTTATATAAACTTCTAGAACAAGTGCATAAATAATCAAGTCCGTGCGTACACAAGGTTTGGATCGGTCCTTTCGAGGGATGATTTACGTAGTTTCCGAAATGACACAAGAGAACCTGTTTGTTTGACAACACATGTTTTAACAATAAGGCTTTGCTATTTTTTATATGGCTCACTGTCTGTGTGTCATTCGGGACATTATATCTTTATACTCATGACATTGGTTGGACAAGGAAAAAAAAAGGTAGACAGAATGGTATCCTACCCTCGTACAAAAGGTCTGTGTGTGTATGATTTGTACGATAAGTCATCCATTATACTATCGGAAGTATGTATGTGTCCCATGATGTCGAATTAACGTCTTTACACAAACACACAGACGTAGCTCAGATGATCTCTTTTTCTCTTTTTTTTTCTTTCTTTTTCTGTACGCCCTGTTTTATAATGCCGCCAGTGTCAAATGGCGTATATTCAAAAAGCAGCTTGTAAACCAATCAGGCAGTTTGTCTAGGTTGTGGTAGCAGCTTTGGCAGACAGATACTGATTGAAAAGAGTTATCCAGGATAAATTTATGTTGCTCAAAAGATGTCGATCATCAGGATTAAACCTCATTTGCAGTCATTAAGCAAGTGTGGAAAACACAATGCTGAGAGTGAGTGTTACATGTCAATGTATAAGCATGCATCACTTTTTGAAAATTGAAATGAATCTCTTAATACAAGATCATTTTGTATAAACTCATTTACTTTTATTTTATGATTTACACGTATAGATGAGAAATGGAACTAGATGAGAATAGTGACAAAAAGTCTGAATAAGGAATCAATAAATATAGGATTTTATTGAACTGTATAATATTCAGCTGCAAACAAACTATTTTGATCTTTTGGGTGTTATTCTGTCGATTAAGATGGTTCGTTCGTTCTTCGGTTCGAAAGAAAAAAAAAAGTGGCCTGTTGCACTTTCCAGCAAAGTCAGTGAGTGTAAACTGAATTATTTTGATTATTTGATCTTCCATAATCTGCTTGCACACAGCATGATTCCACAAGGTCTTTGAAAAGCCTGTTCTGGGCGCTTCCAAAGCATGTTTAAGCATATCGTACGCATTTTGATGATACTTGAACGGCACCCAAAGAAGCTTAGGCTGTCAAATTAGCTCTCAATTTAACTTTTAGGTCGCTGCACATATTACAACTGTAGCCTGCAGCAATTGCCACCAAAGGTTTCAAGATTATTGTCGTTCCTGTTGCTAATCTTTGGTTGATGTAGAGTATACATATTATTGGTCATAGCAGTATATGTAAGGATGTTTTCGTGTAGTGGGAACATGTATATGATCAGTGCAATACTTTTTTTTTGGCAACTATCTCCAAATCAACATCAGTACGATTTCTTTTGTTACTAGAGTGTCTGACTTCAACATGGTCCTTTTAATATTCTTTTGAAGTTCTGAGCTACGAAAGGCATGAGGCGTAATATTATCGAAAATAGTTTTAAATATAAAACATAAGAATACAAGAATCTCTTTGTAATCATTTATGAACAGAGAAAGAAAATAAATTGATCTGTACATGAAAGGATAAAAGCTATTGTATCATATTACGCATCATCAAATACTATAGACTATGGATGCCATGAATCAGTGATGTGGGATTGCTACTATATGATGTTTATATTGAATACGCTGAGTGAGGTGTACAACTTTCTGAAAATGTTGAACCATATATTGTCATGGATCATACTCCCCATCGAAAAGTTCCGAGCTCTACTTAAAAGTGAGTCTAGTCAAGATATTCCTGTTATTATCTCTAAAAATATCAAACACTCTTTTGGGAGTTTTTGAAAAGTGTTCAATAATAAAACCACCATTTGACACTGGCGGCACTGAAAAAAAAAAAGAAAGACATCATTTGAGCTATGTTTGTGTAAAGACATTCATTCGACATCATGGGACACACACGAATGACTTATCGTACAAATCTAGTTATTGTTACCTTTTACACCTTTTTTTATCTATTTATTTATCCGGTTTTTATCTAATCTGTTTTTGTAACTATATGTTTTCCTAAAAAACACCGCATTGACATATTGGTGTAGTGTACATGTTTCCCCCTTTTTTGATGGATTCCCATTCTTATATGCATGCTTATATAAAGAAAAAGAAGGGCTTAGCTGCATTTTATATAAGCATACTTTTATTAGTAAATGGGCTTAGAGCTTTTAGAAAGTTGCACTGAGCTAAAAAAGAACTGGTTCCGAAAATGCACTGTTTTCAGGGTACCCCAATTCAATAAAATCGACTTGTGTTTTCATTAAATTACACTGACAAAAGCTCCCACATGATAGCTAAATAATAATTTTATACTTCCTTTATTTCCTTTACCCTAATACTGTTAGCTTGTAAACGATAACTGCTCTTAGTATAACCTCTTACGTGTAGGTGTTACCTGTCCTTTGATGATCAAAGTTATTGCGGTCCCCGCTGTGTCTGTTTCTTCCGTAACACTAGTTCAGCCTATAACTCAGTAGATAGATGCGGGAATCAACCAAGATGCGCTTTTACTATTAAAGTATGGCAAAGAATATGATCCACCCTTGTGTTCAGAGTGAGCAGAATGTGAAAAATATAAAGGACGTGGGTTCGGACAATGTAAGTACTGTATGCGCATTGACCACACAACTCTAAAATAAAACTTAAATAGCTTCCTTTGTGGAACACAAGGAGCTCTTTATACCCGGTTTGTAAAACAGCGTCATGCATACACAATCATTTGTTAAAAAGTAACAGAAAGTCTTTTTATTGCCCCCTGTAGTAATAAAGAAAGCAGTTAAGAACTAGGGTGGTAGTAGAAAGCCATGGCAACAACAGCATAGACAGCCTGTAGATTTGTTAGCAACAATAATATTAATTAATAAAAGCAATACTTACCAAGAGTAAGGCGCCTTCCAGCCAGTTGGATTTGCCATCAGCAATAAGATAGTTAACAATCAAGACACTAGAGAACAAGACTGTAGTTTCAAATAATTCGAAAAAGAATGTCATGGGAACATCGATCGCCCAACCAGTCAACACAAGCAAGGGGGACACCAAAAGACCAATTTGTAAAGAAGAAGAAACGGCGATACCGATACACAAATTCATCTTGTTCTTCAAGGCAAAAGTAATGGAACTTACATGTTCAGCAGCACTATAAAAAATGGTCAGCACCAAGTATGCTTTTCCTACCATCAACACTTACTTTCCGACAATGGGCAAAATAATGAGACCAACAAAGGTTTCGTTCAAACCCCAGGCCTCAACAACACCTTCGATACTATAAAGAAATGATGTTAGTTTTGGTTGTAAAGATATCAAACGACTTACGCTCCAACAAGATATTCAGCATGAAGGGCAATGAAGAGGGTAATGACAAGCAATCTACAATAATGAGACAGATTAACTCTCTGAACTGATTACATATGGGAGATATTTACGAAGCAATAGCAAAGCCAAGGGTAGTATTGGGTTTTTCGTCTTCATCAGCTTCATCTTCAAACTATTAAACTGTTAATGATCCCATGCCCCTTATTGTTTTCTTTTGTAATTTACCAATTCAGAGTGAGTCTTTAATTGGAAAACGAGGTATAAGAAGTAAACGAGCAACAAGATGACAGCGGTTCCATGACTCAAGTTAATGATGCCAGATTCATATCCACCAGTTGTAGCACCAGTAGCATTGAAAGCAGCAGGAATCAATAAAGAAAGAGTGGTTAAACCCAGGAGAGAAGTAGAGGTTTGAGCAGCTAGAACAAAATGTCAATCTATATGCGTTTTTTTTTTTTTCACTCCTTTTTGTAAAACAATACCAGTGATATTGAAGTTTTGCTCTGAGCGGCCAATACCACCTAATAAGAAGCAGCAACCGAGCACCTACGATGATGGTTTAAATATACCTTTTTTTTTTCTTATTTCAATACTTACAAGCAGAATGTTGGATAAAATAGAACCCAAGATAGAAGCTAATGAACAATAAGTCATGCTATTTATACCCCTCCTTCTTTTCATTATTTTTTTACCTTGGACAACACGGATTAATCCTTCCTTTAAGGCAATCATTCCAAGAATAAGTTCGACAGCATTACCAAAAGTAGCATTCAAAAGCTAAATAAGCGTAAAAAGAAGCTTAATAAGTGCAAAAAAAGGGTAGTTTATCTCTTTGTCTATTTACTGAGCCAACAACTGAACCAGATCTCAAAGCAATTTCTTCAGTAGCTATTGACGTTGTTATTTAAATGAAAATTTTGTAATTCCTCCGTTACTTACCAAAACCAAGAAGTTTGGCCAAGGGAATAATAGCCATAAAGTTCAAAGAGAACACAACAGTATCAGAAGCATGGGAAAAAGCCAAAGCGAAAGGAACAAAGATAAGAAGATAGTTTATCTTCGAAGAAAACACAGTGGCTTTGAATGAAGACTTTAATGTAGGCTGCTCGTCGCCATGAGGCAATAAATGGTCGCGTTCGCTCATTTTGCTTTAGTGGAGAGAAAAAAGAAAAAAGAAAAAGAAAAAAGAGGAAGGTTTCACGAAATAAATTGGGGAAGCTTGAGCATAAGGCAGTTACCAGATCATGTCAACAAAGCCGAGTCAACCTGGGTTGCACTCATTTATTAAGTTTTGGCAGCTTTCATGCTCCTTTGTAACAGAAATTAGCCACTCCTTCTTTTTGATGCCATATTTAGTATACGACAAAAGGAAGATAAACTATTTAACCTTATTTAAACTTCCTTTTTTTCTGCACTAAAACTGGTGTCCAAGCAATAAGTATATCTCGTTGCCATAGTCACACTAACGTGTTGGCAACATTTTACCCAAAGTTTTCCAAGGGCGATCGGTCAAACATTTATTGTTCCTGTCACCCTAAGCGTGTCACAACATTCGGCATTATTTTCAATATTGGAAAGATTGAAATTCAAAAAAAAAAGGGCTAAACAGGAAGGATCCTTGGATGGTATAAACTATCCAAGTTTGCTCGCTAAAGTAACGTTAGCAAATGGACAAGAAAGTTTGTAAATTGATCACGCGCTCGAATCTATAAATCTCCAAGTATGAGTCAGGATATATGGAAATTGATCAATATTAAGCACAAAAAAGAAAGCTCACACTATCTTCAAAAAATACAGTTGACGTGTTTAATATGAATCATTATAATACTCGCGCATAATCTTATAGCAAAGCATACATTCTGCTTTCAGATGAGAATAAATCGCAATAAGAACGACGATCGCATTGACAACATTGGCTTTTAAAAGATTGCTAACCCAAATTGACTACTTCCCCCAAAGATTCTTCTTTTTTCCAGCGAAGCTCTTATTTTTGAGTATATGATGTACAGTTACCGAGTATTTTACTTGGTGCTTCATTCAAGAAATTGTAACTAAATACGGCATGATGTGCATTCTTGATACTAAGCATTCATCAAGAAACAAAAGGAACGCGTTATGTATCTTTGTAGATTATACCAGAAAACTATCAACGCGTAATTCAGACAAAGCATGACACGGAAAACCTTATATTATACACATGCACCAAATTGATTTTGATGTCGCCCTTTTCGACCTTTCATTTCCGCAGTGTATGCTCCATTTATTTGTATAAAATACCGCTGTCTTTCAAGCCGTTTTTTTTATACAGGATGGATCCATATAATGGCTCTTTTCAATCTGTCAGGTACCAACGTTGCATGTTGACCTGTCTAAGGAACAACATGATTGGTCTAAAAGGCCTCAGGTATCTCGGATCTAAATGGCAGGTACAGCGTATTACCTGCTGTCTCAGAGTATATAGATACAGATCTATTATATACATCTGCAACTAATTGAGGACTATCTAAAGAATCGAGCCAACAATTAAGTGGAGGAGCAGGGTTTGTAGTTATTAAAGATTCTTTCAACATTCGTGTAGTGCTTCATTTTATCTACAAATTTCAAGCCACTTTAACATTCACTTTTAAAAAAAAGTATTTTGTACGTAAACCTTTGCATAATTCATACTGATGCAAGTCAAATCATTCCTTCATTTCTCGCTTAACTCTCATGCGAGCATAAGCTCAAATCGACCAATCATAAAGGTGAGGTGCTCATAGCGTTTTCGCGTGTATATGAGTAAATCGCAACAGTTATGTATATGTCATCCTAGTTTTATTATTGCATATATTTTCGCGTTTTTTCTTTTTTTCTTTTTCTTCATCTTCATTCATTCTTCTTCTCCTTACATGGTTCATTTTTCGCACTTCCCTTTCATAAGGTCGGCTTAATCTGCTGTTGTTGAATAGCAACAGAGATGACGAATACAGCTATTTTGATGGTTGTTACTGCAGTGCCATAACTATGACTTGACCCTCACTAGGTATTCAACTGCTTATGAGGGCGATAAAAAAAAGGGCTCGCTATGCGTGAGCATAGGGAGGTCTGTTCATAGGTGGCATATATCCTTGCTGGCTGTAGTGTGAAGATGAGCCCCCATTGTCTGCTTTTTTTTTTAAAAAAAAAAGGGTATTTAAACTATTAGTCTTTTGCTTAAATAATATAGCCTTTAACACCCATATATACTAGGGAAGATATCTGGTCAAGCCTTAGGAACTTCTCTGTGTCAACTGCCAATACGCTTACTTTTTGGTCTCTACTTGGTTGATTCTTCTTGATTGATTCCACTTTGGTTGATCCTGCTTGGTTGATCCTTCTTACTGTGCATTCCACATAAATTAAACAATGAAGGCAATGCTCAATTGTCAAGCTATGCTCTTTAAACCCTCTTGTGTCACATATAAACAAAACCTCTAATTGTAAAGCGTCTAATTCCCAGTTATTTGACAAACACGTAAATAAAAACTGCATTTTATATAGCGAGTGTTATATATTTTTAACAAAAGAGGTGCTTTTACTCAGACTTTTTTTGGGGGCTCCTAAAAGACTTTGTTGTATTTAGCACGGATGTTGACTTATAGAGTATTCAAAGAGCTTATCATAATGTGTACAGTACCTGTAGACAGAGTGGCATCACACTAAGAATCTGTGCTGCAATGTGGTGTATATTGCTACCTGTATTAATGATATATATTTTTCTTTACATCTTATTTACAAAAATAAAAAGATATGCTTGGAAGTTATTGTTTAATCATAATCCATTTCAAACCAACTATTCAACCAATTCTTCAGGTTTGTTTACGTTATGAATTTGAAAGCGTTCCTGAGTTAAAAAAAAGTTACTTGGCTGCATGAATTATTTTAAGGAGGTCATGTTAAGGAGAACATCAGTTTTCATTCCTCATTGGCTGACTTTGGAGTAGGCTTATATAGTTAAACATGCGATTCAATTGCACTAAACTATCGTATCAACTATTACTTTAACATCAATCAATACATTAACTTTGATTTAAAAGCAGAGCTTTACATTTATAGACAAGGATCGAAAAGAGCCTGTAGCTGAGAATGGACATCTTAACAGAGAGCTTAACTTGTGGTGCAGGTTAAAGTCAAATAGTAATATTTTTATATAGACAATAAGCACTCATGAGATTTGTAGAATTTTGCAGATTTGGCAATGGACATTTTATATAAGCTTTAGTATATCTTCAGCACTTGTTGTAATATCTTCTTATTTACACATGTTTGGTTAAAGCAACAGTATGTTTATTGATGGTTACTTTCATTACTTGCTGAAGAAACCATCACTTGGTTCGTGTAACTGTCAAGATTTCCGCTTTTTTTTTTTCAGAAATCTCTTTAACAGCTTAATCGCTAATAAAGGCAAGTTGTAATAAACTCTCGTTCTACTAACTTAATGTAAGCAAAAAAGAGAAGAGACCCATCGTCGGAATAGCAATAAAGATTGAATGCTGCCCAATGACCGTCTTCATGGAGGCTTTGCTATGCTACACTAAACACTACGTTTTGCTTATTAACACTTTATCTATCAAATACAATTGTTTGCTTGTAAAAATATTGAATTTGGCAACTGTTATCAGCTTTTAAAGGAGTTTTTGAACAGGTTATAGATGACATACACCATATTAGAAAGAATAGAGTGAGAGAGATATGATTTTATTGTATAAATTTTTGTGATGACGCACGATAAAAGTCATCTTCTTTATATCAAGTAGGTTTTTAGAAGATTCTTGATTAAAATGTACCCTTTTAAGCATAGAGATCGGTTTTAAAGATAGAATGCGCTTTCCATAAGCACCCAAATGTCACTATTTTACTTTTTCCAATACCTTTATATCGTATCTAGAAAACACAAATCAAGACAAATGCTCACATTTTTTCTGCAAGTTGAATGATAAGCGATCTTTTATTATTATATCAAACAATATGAATATAGACCAGTTTAAGTCACACAGTAAAATGGTGAATAAACAAACTACGATTAGTTTTAAGGATTCCGATAAGGCTATAAAACGTCCACAATAGTAATCGAAGATACCGGACTCATTAAACAAGATAAACATGTCTCTTTGACTTAAACAACCCCTCTTTAATGCAAAATAAGAATAGTAGCCAATCAAATTATTGTCCTACATTTAATTAATTGCCAGAAATGAATGTACCTTGTTCTTTGAGACTTGCTTATTAAAGCAATCAATGAGATTGAACATTAATCAAACCAAAATATACGTGTTTTCTTACACTCATCATTCTATTTAAGTTTACATTCATCGTTGAGTATATATCAGACAAGATATTGTATACAACACAGTCCTCCCTGTTATAGAGAGATAGGTAAAAAAAAAAAAAGCTTTACATAAAAGAGCTTTATTATGAAGCGTGTGGTGTATATGTTTAGTATGTACATTATCGTTTTCTTTGTGCACGCTTCTTAGCCGCCTCTAATGCCTTGTTTACAGCCGTCAAAAGAGGAGCAAGAGTCTGAAGGATATGTTATATAGGGGAAATACAATGATTTGAAAAACAACTTACCTGTTTACATTTATCTGGATCACCGTCGTAACTGACGACAGATATTAAAATCTCCTTTAATTTCTCTTGTTGTCGCTTTAAACCTTCAGTCATTCGATTGTTTTTATCGGGCTTGTAAGGTTCATAGGATGACCAAAAGTGTCTTAGTATCTCATTCGTTGCAGAATGATAGCTTTGGATCTTTTGTTGCACTGCACTTGGTAATTTGAAATCTACACAAAAATAGTAAAGGCATTGCAAAATTTGCATATATAAAAGTATATATACCAGAAGACGTTTTATCAACATGTCTGGCTTTCTTTTTAATCGTGCTTGTAAGATCTGTGCAAACACCATCCGCTGCTCCTGTTGGTATCGTTTGTTTTGATAAGTTCGGTTGCCAGTGTTCAAACTTTCTTTTATATCCACTGAGCAACACTCTTGTTTCCTAAAGTCGATTTGCTATAATAAAGATAAAGTTCTACACTCCAAAATTTCGACTTACATCTTCCGTCATCTTGACTTGATCTACTCCTCCTGATTGACTCTCAAAGTATCGTTTTGTATCCTGGATATCTAATATAATCTTTTCTGAAGGCTTTTCATCAAGCAAGTCTGGAATGACAATTTCTTTCTCTATTTCATCTTCATGAGAAGCTTCTGGTTTTGGTTTATTACTATATGAAGGAATAAGTTTTTTATCAATCATCCAAGATGACGACTACTCACTTGATGGCTGTTTCTAATACACGCATAGAATGTCTATTAAATCTACGGATGAGCGGTAATGACTGTGCCTCTCGACCAGGTTTCATCGTAAAATCAGGCGCGTTTCCGCTCTACACATGATGAATACAATGTGAATCTTCATATTGTTTCTTACCTCGATGTGATCTTCCTGAGTAGCAGACAGATCAATATCAAATCGAATTTTCTCCATACGTGTCAATGTGGGTGGTTTTGAATTCTCTATTGTCCGTCATTAGACTTTATACTGTTTAAATCATTAGGTACCTTCATCTTCTTCTTGAAGACACTTGTCGAAAATATCATCATAAGGTGTAAGTTGAGATCGTCCTCCAGTTCGAGATCTATGAAAGAATTCGGATGCTAAAAATCTCTTCCAAAACGCTTGCTCTGTCATCTATTTAAAGCAATAAGTCTCTCTTGTGTATAAACATATATTGATTTTTTACCTTGTCTGGAACATTGGCGTCATATGCTCTTTTCACTTGAAATCATTTAAATCATGGTCATATAGTTTTGTATGTATATAGATATATACCTGAAGGAAATTCTGTAAAAATGTTGTGAATGATTTGACTTGTTAATGTGTATTTGACATCAGATCCTTCTTGCTGTCCAGGCTTTAACTCTACCATTCTTGAAGACTTTCCTTTCTGTTTTCCTTCTCGTGAGATTGCATCCTTTTTCAATTTCTATATTTCCCTTTAGTTTTATGTTTTTATACGTCACTCCTATACCTGTCGAATACGCTTCACATAAGGACTTGCCCAAAACTCTTCTTCGTCTACACTTTTGCCCACAACCACCAGTTCTTTATGAAGCGTTTGTAATTCTCTACTTGACATCAATAAAGCCTTTCTATCATTAAATTCTTCCTGTCGTGGATTGCGTGGACTCCCCGGTGTACTGGGAAGCGGCGATCGAGTCACTGGTGAAGGTATAGCCGACGTGTGTTGAGATGCTGCAGTAGGCGTTGACGGTGACGGAGTGGATGTCGAGAGAGGAGTTGCTGGTGTTGTCACAGGCGTTGTTGTTGCTGTTGTTGTTGTTGTTGTAGCACTGACGGATGTACCTCTTGCACGAGCAAGTAGTTCGGCTACTTGTAACTTAACTGCTTCACGCTCTTGAAGGTTCTTTGCTGATGTAAATTGAAACGTATAATCTTTTGCTCCTGTAACTTTCAGAGAGATCTTGAGCAGGACTTTGGGTGAACTCTCGGGTGTTTGAGCAAGTCCTTTTTTTTTTTTTTTGAAAATGTTTAATAGCAAATAATCAATGTATATTGTCTCCCTCTTCTTTACCTGCAATGTCATTGTAATAAATCGAAGGTGTTAACTGCGAAGAGCCTTGTTGTTGATAAGCTACTCGCTTTGGAGTGACAAAGAGGGTACCGTCTTGTTTCTTATAACGAACAGGTGCTCGAAGAAGTAATTGTTCATTAGGCTCCCACATGTGCGATCAATTACAGAAAAAAAAAAAGTGATACTATGGATATGCACTAGAACGAGATTACAGGCGACTTCCTAGGTGCGCCCCTCTTAATACACAAGTAACATTGGATTTGGAAGTATCTCAAAGAGTGCTTTAAAGCGATGCAGTACGCGATTAAACCATGTATTGCTTATATGGGTACCAGAAAAGAATTAAAGGCGCATGCTTTCGGTAACAAATACAAATATCTTTGTGGTCTAAAATACCATCCCTTTTTTTTTATTATTATTATTCCCATTCATCTTCTTCATCATCTTCGTCGTCGCTTTGCATGGCTTGTTTACGTTGTTTTAATACATTTGCTAAGCTTGATGCCAAATCACCACCTGCAGCACCGGCTGCAGCACCAGTGACTGCTGCTGCTGCTGTTGTTGTTGTTGCTGTTGGTAAGGTCGGACTGCGCTCGACTGTTGCTGCCTTTTTCAATTTACCCGACGACTTCAGATTACCAAATCCTCCTGCTGCTCGAATAGATGCCATCAGATCACTTCTTCCATCAGATCCAGCTGGAGCTGGTATGGGTGCAGTAGGCGGAGCATTTCCAGGCATAGGTGGCGGCACAGGAGCATTTCCAGATGGTGGTGGAGGAGGAGGAGGTGCTGGTATACTGTTCTTTGGCATAGGTGGTGGCACAGGAACATTTCCAGATGGTGGTGGAGGAGGAGGAGGTACTGGTATATTGTTCTTTGGCATAGGGGGTGGCAGAGGAACATGTCCTGATGGAGGCGGTGGCACTGGTATACTACTCTTTGGCATAGGCGGTGGCACGCCGCTTCTTGGGATGTTAGATACTGGCGGTGGTGGAGGGGGAGCTGGAATGGAGGGTGTAGCGCTGCTTGGTACAGGTGGAGCAGGAGGGGCCACATGTGGTCGCATAGGTGGTGGTGGTATGGTTGAATTAGCATTATTTCTGACAGGTGGTGGAGGGGGCGCTGGTCTTCCACGAGAAGGAGGAGGGGGAGCTGGACTTCTTGAAGGAGGCGGAGGGGGTGGTGGTGAGACGTGATGGCCATTACTGCTATTTACATTGATTGGGCGCCTTGGAGGAGGAGGGGGTGGCGGAGCGCCATGAAGTCTGCCTAATTAATTTGTCAGTCACTCGAATATATATAGCATGAATAGGAGATCAAACCTGGAGGTGGAGGTGGTGGTGGAGCCTTCTTGCGCTGAATGGGTGAAGGCGCAGGCGAGGCATGTTGTTGTTGTTGTTGTTGTTGATTGTTTTGCTGTAAGAACTCTTGAATAAATTCTTGATTATCATTGATTTCTTCAGCCGAAATGCCAAGAGCCTGTAGCTGACTGAGAATACCGTTGAGTTCAGGATCATTATTTTGTACACTGAATCCTTTTCCAGGAGTATAGCCAATATGGCTTAAATGTCTATCGTTCGAAAATGTCATTCAAAGAGCTCTCTCCTATTTTTATTTCTCTTACCTAAAGTCAGCTGGCATACCGATATGGTTTTTATCAATCTTGCTCTTGCGTTTATCCTTTTTTAATCCAAACAGACCCTCTGCACTCTCCTTTTGATCATTTACTTTTGAATATAGCGATTGACGGTTCTGAACCTTTTTATAAAACGTCTCAGCCTCTTCCTCACTCACGAATTCTAAACCTGTTAGACAGTCCTGTCAAAGATAACTGTGAATAGAGTTGAATTTTTTTTTCTCGATGTTATTTACGTCTGTTTCAAATGTATGAAAGAAGGGCGCATCTTGAACATATTCGAATCCTTCATACAACTCTTGTTCCCAAATGACACCTGCTTCTCTCTTTATTTTATGTAAGATATCTAGTGTTTTATCATTACAAACTTACCTCCAAATCTATTATTCTAATAAAAAATGAATTGTTCTTTGCTTTATCAATACAGAATGCAGCAGCTCCCCATACTCTTGAATAAGACCACTGGGAAGGATCAGGATTGGCAACGTAAAGTCGGGCAACAGCTGCAGTAAATATTTTCTATTTCTTTGTTGGTGTATTTCATATAGTTATAATCTAGTGTCTACTTACTGAAGTTGGCAATGCCTTTCGTACAATGTTTTTGTCTTCAGGTGATGAAAGAGTTGTTGACTTCATCTTGACAAGAAAGAAAAAAAGAAGCAAAAAAAAACAAAAAAAAAACAAAGCAAATTGTAATGATGAAATTAAATGAAAATTAAACTCAGAGCCAAGCTTTATTTATTTTTACTATCTTTATCAGATGAACATGTAAATAGATGCTTTTTCTTATTCATATTACACCTTCAATAATAAGCACGTCTAAACAGTGCACTAGAATCAGCCTACTAAAGCTTGATCTTGCATTAACACATGAGCAACGCTACAATTACTGCACTTACTATCAATTGCTCATCTTGTCGTGCACCTTTACCAGTTGACTCAGCATATTGTGCTTGGCAAACACGCAGAGAACAAGTTGCAATGTGAACAGTGCATTATATATATATATATGATATCTTCGTTTACAAATCAAAATATGGCAATGAAAGCCCTCCAAAAGACTAACGCCGTGGATTTAATGCGCTGTCCATAACGGCAGTAAACTCCTTAGCACCTCGGTCAGTATATTACGTCTTTTTTTATTGATTAGTTTTCTAGTTAATGTGTTTGATGTTCGTTTGCTGCAAATAATGCGACAACAGCCAACATTACTAATTAAATTTTTAGAATAAAGATGATTATATTAAGAATATATAACTTACAGCACACAAGACCATATCTATCCTTTACAAAGTTTGTAAAACTCCACTCCTTGACTTCCCCATAGTCATCAATGAAATACGTGTTGACCTTGGTACTTTTCATGCCGACAGCTAAACCAAAAATAAATTAAACTACTTTATCAACTTTAAAAATATATACTTGCATATATAATTATTGCCTGTCCTATCTTTCCAAAATAAAACAGATCCAACCTTCTTTTAAAATAAGTGTGAGCCGAAAGTAATACAAGTATAGAGCAACTTACGCCTGATTTACTATCCATAGGATGAATGACCATACGTGGTTTCCATCTCAACGATCTCCTCAAGTTATGCGGTGACATTTTTCCCATGGACGCATCCTCACTATCACTGACTCCACGTTTAAATATATAAACAGAGTGAGTCTCTGTCCAAACGGCCAAAAGGGTTGCATCCTCATTTAGTTTCAGTCCCACTATGTCGGAATCATCCACCATCGTATCGTCCTCAGCATCATTATAGGCTTCAGACATGACCGTACCATTGGCGTGCTTATACAAGTGATCACTATTGGTTATATTATTGGTAAAATCAAATGTATAAAAGTGCTTTGCGATGGAGGTCACCAAGGATTTTCCATGGCTTGATCGAGTCATGAAAGGAACTGGCATGGGATTCTCTATTCTTTCGATGGGATGTTGATATGTATCTATATGCGAGAATTCAGGCACACTGTTGATGTATCTAGGGAATCTTTCCTTTGCGTACTGTAAGTCAGCTTGTTGTTTACAAAAGCAATGCTTACTCGATTTTTAAAGGTTCCTTGTCTTGTCCATTCCCCTATCTGCCTGTCTTTTGTATAAGGTGTTCCATCGACAATCGTCAGATTGATATAATAATCTTGTGTTGTTTGGTAGATGTCGAGGGTAAGCACACGAATGATGGCTGGGCTAAGGACAACTTTTAGTTTATGGACTTGACATGCTTTGAGCTTACTTTGGTGAGTATAGTTTACTAAGCAATCCAGCGTGAGCTTCAGTATCTCTGGGTTGATGATAGGCTATATGATGCTCAATTAGAATAAATAGAGTACATGATTTCCGTTACCTCTGATAGGATCTCCTGGGATTGTTTGACCTATATATATGACTCCCATCTCTTCAGAATGTGGTGGTGCAGTTATATCCTGAGGAAGAGGAATGATACGAAATCTATAATTATCTGGATCACTACACATATAAATGAGAACACGCATATCTTTAGTGTTGAATATACATACCGATGCAGTAATATGCAATCATCTTCTAATGATATCTCCTTTACTAGTGTTGTTCCAGGAATAAACAAGTCCTTATACTGCATATCACTGTCCTGGTTTGGAAAATAATAAACTCGTACATAATGCAAAAGATCATCCTTTTCCAGTCTGCGATATAACACTGCAAATTGTATTAATCCATCATTTGGACTTTCTGATACATTCACAATAGTGCCATCGATGGTATGGTTGAAGCATGGTTCCCACTCTGTCTCTATGGATTGTGATAGGCCGTCTTTTAACTTTTTTGTTTGAATGATACGACCTTGCAAAAAGAGTTAAATAAAGTAACGGAATAAAATATAAAAACATACCAAAAGTGCCCACTTTGAGTGCGCTCGTACTGTAAAAATAAGACTCGCTTCGTTCTTGGTCAAAGACAAGCTGCGTATTATAAATGTAATCTTTCTTGGCTCTCAAGATGACCTGATCTGAGACACCGTTTTTGCTTTTTTCGACGTGTGGTATATAAACAGGAGTTGGATAAGGAACATCATAGAGCAATAAACTTGTGAGGTAGATCATGGCTACTCCTGCTATTGACATAATATAAACGCGCCATTCCATATTTTATATATTTAAAAAAAGAGAAAAAATAGAGTGATTGTTTGACATGTTTCTTATTTGGCCCCACCATTTGTGCCACCAAAGAATTAAAAAGCAAGACGATGGATATGTCTTGAGGATACGTCATCGAAAAAGAGAAAGATAAGTAATATATGACTTTAACCAGTTGCACATCAATATAGCTTATCTAAGATACATCTTTTTGTAATGTATTACTTCATTGTTAAAAGTACTGAAGTTCACTGACCCAATCATCTCGCTCATTTTAAAGCTCAGCCTCTATTCATTTCAATCAGGCTACAGTGTTTCTACTTTGACTTCAGATGATGTTAGTTTTTTTTTTTTTAAACCAGATTTTTAGGTTACCTTTTTTAGATAAAACGAAAAATAAATACAGGCAGGAGAATTAGTTGTGAAAAAAGAAAAAGTATAGAACTTACCTGCATCTTGGTTTACTCTATCAATACTCGCCCTAGGCAAGATCGTTGCTACCACCGGGTGGCATAGCGCAGATTTTTTTTTGGGGAAGGGACTTCAGTAAATGATGAAGAGCGCTTGAGGGTTTACCTCTGAAATCTTGAAGGGCGACCAAGTGCTTGTCGATGACTCTTCATGATTGCTTTGAAATTCAAAGCAGCTACTAAATCCTTATTCAATTGATTTCTGGACTCCAAACATTCTTGATTTTTGCTTCTAAGAAAAGGAATTAATGAGATAGTTGTCAACCTTTTAGAAATTAAGAATATGCTACCTTAAGAGTCCGTGATACAAGACTATAGGGTAGCGTGCTCGTCGAAATGACCGAGGATTAGAAACTTTTGCAAACTTTTCTAATTCTCCATCTTTACAAGTGGGGCAAAGGGAACACGTCTTGTGTTCATCAATCAAATAAACGGAAAAACCGTGTTTCTTCAACATTCTGCACATGTCCTTCCCCCGGATTGGCTCATGATACCTTTGATTTGCAGCAGACGAATCCTCAATAACAAGAATAGAATCTTTTCCGAATTTCTCTCAAATTTTTGCTGATAGATGGCTGTCAGACTGCTGCCTGTTAACGATCGAAGATAACTTCATCTTTCGGAAAGGAAGTAAATGATGGTTGTGATGTTCATTGTATTCATTCGTGTAATATGTGGGCAATGCCCCATGAACTCTTGCCCTGACTTTCAAGCACTCGGCAAATTGAAGAACGTTAACGGTCGGAGCCGGATGCTTTGAAAGATATGCTTCAGATCCCTTTACTTTTTCAGGTTTTGTATTTTGACGCAATTTAGCGAATTTCCTCGACTTGGTTTCTGTGGCCCTTTGGTTAAGAGTATACCGATAGGGATCGCTCTTGCTATTTGATTTATTTCTCTCATGCATACAATACAACAAGTCACGACGCCTTGAATTGATAAACACGCACTTGTTGGTGGTTTCTTGAAGCTCCCCTGTTGTCAATTTGTTTATGTATTGACATTCATCTTCGTCTTTCATACGTATTCCCTTAGATTTGTAATGGCTTTATATTTAGTTCGTAAGGCCGAAAATACTACACAAGTTTGAAGCAAGGAGTGACTTTTCTTTCTTTTTCATCGTTGAGATTACTTTGCTTCTGTTCTCAAGGCAAACATATTATTTAATATGGTACCATGAAAGGATTCATATTATGAAAACTCTCTCACACCATCTAAATTAGTAGCAATATTCCAACAAAATAAACGCTACATACACGTACCTGAAATAGTCTGGTAGTGGCCAAGTATATATATAAAACTGAACCTTCGTCTTTATCAGTGCCTTCCAGAATGTATTCCTTTTTACTTCACCAATTATCAAGTGTTTTAAGTACGCAATCAACTTTTGCTTTAAAGTGTCCTTTTAAGAATGTTAATATTTGAATTAAGCGAAAATCTACGAGCCTTACTTCTTGACCACAAACTCAAGACTCCTTCTTGAAAGACAAGAAACAGCTACCATCAGATTAGTTCATTTTCGCCTTGTAAAACGACATTTAATCTTTTAAATTATATTGTATTGTCTCTGTTGGTATCCTTAAAAACAGGGACAACTTTCTTTTTGTCATAGACTTCACATTATCGTCTTTTAATTTATGGTAGTGGCATGCGATACTGATTGAATTCAAGAGTTTTTTTAGAAGCCACAACTTGACTTTGAGCCACCTATTCTCTCTCACGATGCTTTCAGATTGATAAACTACTTCATCTATCTAAAAAACATGTTCTTCTATCTAAAAAGAATTCAATTCAGGCACTTCGACAAGTTAACCTTAATATGGAGAAGCATTATATAAAGGCAAGTGAGATAGCCATGAGTGAAATTCAGGTCGAAGAAATGGATCTCGATGAAGATCATGCATTTACTTACGACAAATTGATGTCATTGACTGATGATACAGTCGCGTTTCCAGAAATGGAAGATGATGTCGTTCCTCAGAATGTACCACTTGCGTCTGAGGATAGTGACAGTAAGAAGGCTCTCGCTTACAAAGCTTATGACCTTGAGAATATCAAGTAATTCATTCACCTTATGTAGGAAGAAGGTGGTTCTGTTGCAAAGCACGTAAAAGCTTGCTTTATTCCCCGTTCAACTGTATATGAAATACTGAGGCAATGGAATGAGAGCGATGGAACTGCTATTCCTGTCGGTTGTATGAAACGGCCCTCCAAGAATAATAGGACTCCCAAGACAAATAATACCAAACTAACACAAAAGCACACGCAGTTCCTCATAGGTTTGGTTGATCAAAATTCGTGTATTACAGTGAACATGGCAAGAGAGCAGCTTTGTAACATGTTTCAAGGCCTCATCATATCTGAAAGCGGTTTAAGGAAACACATGAAAGAGAAAATTAGACTATCCTTGAAAAATTCAAGTATTTATACTATGGACAGAAATGCTACAAGATGATAACAGAATGGAAAGCGGCTGGGAGTTGATTTTCAAAAGAATTGCGTGTTCATCGAGGAAGCCGAATTTAATTCTTATCAAATATAGGAGCAGAGTTTGGTCTGTTAATGACACCCCAGCACAAGTAAAAGTTCCAACACAAAAGGATATCAATCTTAGTATCGTCGAATGCATTTTCCATTTGGGACCATTAACTTCTCCAAAGTCGAACCTTTGAAGCCCAGCGACGTTGCTAAAATTCAGAAAGAGTTTCCTCTACCTGAAAACAAGAAAAGAAAAGTGAAGATTGGTGAATCTTCTAAAACAAAGGTCAAGAAAGGCACAACAGCGTATCATGTCGTAACTTTTGTTCGAAACATCATGGGCATTTTGGATAGACATGATAAAAAAGGATTTTTTTATCGTCATAGATAGCTGTAGGATTCATCGTTCTCATTATGTAACAGAATCCATCTAAAGTCGTGGTTATAAACCTTTGTTTATACTACCTTACCCACCATTTCTTAACCCAATTGAAAAGCGTTGGTCTAAAATTAAAGATCATGTCAAAAGGAATCCACTCTCCTCATTGGATACTTTAACTCCCAGAATTCAAGCAGCTTGTAGAAGCGTTACCACAGAAGATTGTCTTGGATGGATCAAGCATGCAGAAGGCTTCTGGGATAGATATCTCGATAAAGAATTAGGTCTTGCTTGATTGAATATCTTTACCCCTTTTTTTTTCACTTGTCCGAACAATTTACAGCGTCTGTCTGAATTGATTTTTTCAAGTGTAAAATAGTTTCTGAATATAAACTTTTATTCGTTCGAAAAAAAAATCCATTTGTCTGAATTTAAAGTGCGAATGCTGTATTACAGCTCCTCTCTCTCTTTTTTTTTTTTCAATTGTTGCCCTTGATGGATCGCAGAAAAGAAGAATTAGAAAAGAAGAGACAAAAATTAGCTGAGCTTAGGCGTGCTCGAGAAGAAAGAAGAGCCCTGTTGGAAAGCCAGTCCACTCACTCCTCTTCGGTAATTAACATGTTCATTTCTTTCTCCTGAAACCCTCATTCTATTTTAGACGACGACGACGACGGGTTCTGCTGGACGAGATAGAAAAGCTATTGATGATCTTGTTGCTCTTGTTTTGGGTGAACGTCCATCTACACCGAATGCTACTACTGCTAGTGGTAGCGATCGAGGCTCGGATGCCGGTTCTGAATTTTCTTCACGTCCAACTTCAGCTAATTTTGGATATTCATCTCCTGGAACGCCCATCAGTGCGTAAGTGAAAAACATAGTTTAAATAAAATAGGAAAAATCTAAATATATAATGCAGAACCGATGCAAGATTATCTATGGTCTCAGCCGCTTCTCAACCCATTCAGTCTACTACAGCGCCTCACTATGTAGCCGAACTCACCGAAACACAGGCGTTTATTGCAGATATTCCTCCACTTGTAAGCACATGTATAAACATATCAGCTTATTCTCACTATTTATTTAGGAACGTGTTGTGTACAGTAAAGAAATCCAAACGACAGATGGATCACTTGAAGCGCCTCAAGTGTCAGAAGAAGAAATTCGTAAGCAGATAACTGAAGAGTTTGAACAACGAGAGAAACAAAAGATTGCACAGCTGGAAGAGGAAATTAAAAGACTTGAACAGGAAAAGCATGAAGAAATCAAAGGTTTGACATATATACATAGTTAGGGTCGACATATATAATGACATATTGTTTAGAATTGACCGAAGAAGAGGCAAAGGTCATTCAAAAATCTCAAGAGTTTATTGACTTTGTTGATACTTCGACCAAATTAGTTGAAAGAGCATTGAATGAAAAATATGACTTTATGAAAGACTATACCTTGGGCATTGATGTAGAACAGTAAGATATCAAAAAAGCTTGTATTTATTTATTAACGCTGATTTAGAGATGAGAATTCTGGTAAACACGTCAAGTTTGTATGTAATTTCTGGGATGAAAAATGGTGCAAGAATAGATCTGTCACAGATGTCAATTGGTCTCTTAAAGTAAGATGATGATGCATTTTTTAAGCATATTGACATATTTTGCTAGTATCCTGAATTGGTTGTATCATCCTATAATAAGAATCCACTTGCACCCAATGAGCCTGATGGTATTGCTCTTGTTTGGAACTTGCATTTATTGGACCGTCCTGAATTTGTATTTCACTCTCAGGTACACAAGTAAATATAAATGTTCACAAATATTTCTAATACTTGATATACAGTCAGATGTGTTGAGTGTCATGTTTAGCAAATTCCATCCAAACTATGTGATCGGAGGTACCTATTCGGGACAAATTGTCCTTTGGGACACGCGTGCCAAATCTTTGCCTGTCTTGAAGACTCCATTATCAGCTGGAGGACATACCCATCCTGTATACTCGATTGAGATGGTTGGAACTCAAAATGCTCACAACTTAATATCTGCAAGTACCGATGGATTTGTTTGTTCTTGGCAATTGGATATGCTTGCTCAGCCTCAAGATTATTTGGAGTTACTTCATTCTGCTCATAACAAAACAGATGAAGTCTCGACTACTTGCTTAGGATTCCCCGATAATGAAACCACTGCTTTCTGGGCTGGTACGGAAGAAGGCAATATATACCAAGCAAACAGATATGATAGAGCTGGCAGGTAAAAAAATATTTAATGTACAAAAAAATATCTGATCCGTTTCTTTATAGTAAGGCAGGTATAAACCAATATGACACTTACCGCGGTCATCATGGTATGGTCACTGGTATCGATTTCCATCCTCTGCATGGTCCTGTCGACTTTTCCGACTTATTTTTGACATCTTCTGTAGATTGGACTGTCAAACTTTGGAGAGCAAAGGTAAACATTCCTATTTTTTTTTTTTATGCTAACAAGCCTTTGTTCAGTCTATATCCAAAACGTCCACTCAAGCATCTACCGTGACTCCATTATATTCATTTGAACATTCTGATGATTATATTTATGATGTCAAGTGGTCACCCGTTCATCCTGCCTTGTTTGGTACAGTCGACGGTACAGGGCAATTTGACTTGTGGAATCTGAATGCAGATACGGAGGAACCATTTGTAAGCACACAAGTAGGATCAGGAAAGGCTTTGAATAAGCTTGCGTGGGACAAGGAAGGAAGAAAGACGGCTATTGGTTCAAGCGATGGTCATGTCTATGTCTACGATGTTGGCGAGATGGCAAACCCAAAGCCTGAAGATTGGAGCTTATTGCAAAAGAATATAACCGAAATGATCTCAAACCAAGAAAATCCCCCAGCAAAATAATTGCCTCTCACTTTTTATTGATACCTTTTTTTTTTTTCTCTTTTATAATATAGTATTATTTCTTGTTTTCTTTTAAGAATGCCTTGACTTGACTTGCTGTGGCTGTATACCATGCATAGAGTACAAAAGCCTGAAGTCCATGAAAGATAGAGAGTAACAAGCTGGCATTTTTGTTCATGATTGCTTCATTACGATTTTGAATGAGGATGAGTGTCATGATACCATGATACACAATGAATCCACAGGCTGTAGGATATATGAATATATGTACATATATACATCACGTTTACCTGTAGCGCGTTTGCATGGTAGCATATTGGGCATATTTCTACTTAGTAAACTGACAACAGCTAAGCATGCTAAAGTTGCACCATAAAACTGTATGCATAAAAGACTGGTTGTATCAAGTGTTTGGTTAAAGAGAAACCCTGTGGTTTGAGTGAATAATAATGTTTGAAGTGCAATGAGGCCTGATACTATGCCGTGCTATATGAATTGTAAGATATACAGCGACTTAGAATAAACAGCAAGTAGTCTTTACACAAGTAAATATGAGATTAAGTGGGTTGGACATGGTACACAGTATGAATCATAAGAGAGAAAGAGACTTTATTTTTTTGGTCTAAAAAGTAACTCGCCCCCCCCCCATTTATTGGATAACTCCCCACTTTTGAAAAAATGGACCTATCGGGGCATAAAAGTGTCGAATTGTACTTTATGTTTATTTACAAGAAATATATGATTTCTAAAGGGGACATGTAAAAAAAAGGTATACAGCCAAGTTTCTAGGGGAAATGAAATTATGATAAAGTTGTATGAAAATCTCTCACAAGACTCTTGATCGCATCAATAGTACCAAAGATACAACCAACAACGCCCAGCAAAAGTGTGAGAGCACAAAACGCCAATTCATAGATAGGCTTGTTGCGAACACCGGTCAACTTGAGGTAACATAAGACGGGCAAAAGGAAGATAAGACCACATCCTGAAAAGGCGCCAATGAGACCCATGAAATCATCAAAGAAAGGAACATAGACGGCTAAGATAACCAAGACCACCATGGTGCAAGTACGAATGACGGATCGAATGAGCCAGACGGTCCATCGGTTGAGGCTTCTGTCGTAGAGTCGGATCACTTTTTCCATTTCGAGAGAGAACGAGGTTGTAAAGATGGGGATAGCAAGTACGACATGAATGGTCATGACGATCATTGAAATCATCTTGCCGGTTCCTTCTGGAAGCGAGTTATACACAGGGGATACGGTTTGACGTCCATAAGACCAGTAGCCGGGAACGGCTGTCAGGAGATAAAGTGCAGTACAAAAGGACATACCAGTTAAAAGAACCCATTTCCATTGATGAGGCTTTTTCAATGCATGTTCCATATGAGGGTAGGTGTTGATGCCACCATATGAGAATGCAATGGTAGCTAAAGCAGAAGGGAAACCAGTCCAGATGACCGCATCAGTAATCACGACTCTTTCGGGATGAGCATGGTGGTCCATAGGGGCCTGGATCAATACAACGAAAACAGCCATAGCTGTACAGATGGCGCCGACAGCAGCGAGTAAAGTAACTTCTTTTAGTGTTTTGGTAATTAGGCAGGGTGTTAACAAGACAGCACCACAGATGATTGTCCATTTCGCGGGACTAAGTGCTCCACTCTAGAAAAAAAAAAAAAGAGAAATGTTATTTTTTTTTGTTGTTGGTTGTGTAATGATAACAAGACTTACAGTATGTTCAAGTAGTGAGTGCAAATTACTAGCAGCCAATACCAGATAAAGGGCTGGACACCCAAACAGGTACAAATAATGAAGTGCAGTAGCAATGACAAAACCGACCCATCCGTATGCAGCATAACCGACTTCTTTATAATCGTGAAGTCGATGACCAGGCTTGTAGTACAGACAACGAATTAAGATAGTACCGTTATAGACAGACATGAAGAATGCAAGTATCATGATAAGAATACCAAGCCAACCACCAATGGCAAGTGCATCTATAAGAAAATGAATAAAGAGTCTTTATATAAAGAATATGATCCTTACGTGGTAAACCCAAGGTACCGGTGCCAGCAACAACACAGACCACATTAAAAAAGCCAGTAAGGAATGTACCGTTACCATGTCCAAATTCATTGATGCTCGACTGACTATCTTCTTCACATCCAATTTCATCCGTAGTTCTTTCTTTTACTTTAAAGCTGTCAATGTGGCTACCGACTGGAGAAGACGGGAAGCTGCTTTTTTCGATTTCTTGTGCATCCATAAATAGTAGAGAATGTAATTTGAAAAATAATTGAAATTGAATAGAGTGGATCAAATTAAAAAAAAGGGGGGAAACAATGGATGTCCTTTTTTTTTCTTAAAGAAGAAGGAAGAAAAAAATGTGTTTCTCTTTAAGAGGAAAGTATAAAAAAAAGTTTTTTTAACCAGCTAAAACGGGATAAAAGAAAATTGAGAAGCAGAAATCACTGATCTTGAAAAATTAGAATACAGTACAAGAGTTTCTTTGGTTGTGAAGACTATCTTTGGCGGTAATGAGGAGCATATATATGGCCAAAAGGACTAAAGAAGGAAAGAAAGACGATATTACCGTATATATATATATTTATGTGTGTGTGTGAAGTTGATCTGGCTTTACCCTGGAATATATTATAATACGGACAAATACGGAAATTAATTGCAAGATAAAGTTTGGGTAAACCCAGATTTTTGTAACATTGAAGCCTACAGTATCCACGTGCCCGTGGTTAAATCGAGGGTACTATAAGAAGTAGGTTCGTCTTCTTCTCATACTCCGCTGAGAATCTGTTGGTATTTGTAAGCAGAGAGGAGATGTTTCTAGGACATTACCTTTAAAGACATGTGCGGAGTCATCGGAATATTACTTAAAACTGGTAAAATTTTTTTTTACGTCAATGGTTGTCATTTTTAATTTAATAGTGTGACCAAGACTCTTTTGGGTTGCTGTTTTTTCCCGATGTATCACCCTTTTTTTAGGCTTATTACAGATGAGCGAAGGATTAAGCTTGTATAAAGAATCAATAACTTGTTTATATGAAGGATGGCTATCACTCAATTGAGTACACAGGAGGTATTCTTTCAAAGTTTTTATGAGCAGTTTAAGATACTTTGTGATCGGTTAGAAAACATACCCGAGAATGAGCTTTAAAGAATAGATGATTATTTTAAGAATGATATGACCTCTGTACAAAATACAAGCCTGTATATGAAATGATGCCCTCCCTTTCATACAGAGAGAAATGAAAAACAGGATATGCTGATGAAGTGGCTTTGTGACATTAATAGTGTGACTTTTTTTTAAAGAATCAAGCTTCTAGAACATGAACGTGTTTACAAATCTTTGAAGATGCTTCTACTGACAATCATCAATGTTAAAATCACTAAATAAAATAGGCATTATTGCAGTTGATCATCTCCTTTTGTGATAAGATCTGATGAATGAGATTTTTATGTAAAGAAAAAGCATACAAGCATATATATCTGCATTTAGTCGCTTTATTTGACTGTCCATACTTTTATTCATTGACATTTACCGCTTTAAGTGCAATCAAAAGGATTGCTAAACCATCGAGTTACTATGTTCTATAGCAAAACTGTATACAATTGCAATGCTTTTTTGTGCATTCTCTTCATTCCTACAATCAAATGAAACAGTTAAAACTATTGTATCTACAAAGCTACCGATAGAGAGAATATGCCGGAAATCTTCGTCATGACAGGTAAAAATTCAGAATTAAATACCAGAATTCAACAGCTGCTGAGCAGCAAGGAACAGAAATCATATCAATAGATAACAAGCCTTATTGGAGGAGGTAGCTGCCATGTTACCAGCAAGAGCCCTCAGGATACGCAACAACAATTCATTGTCATAATCTTGTCTACTGTAGTCTGCCATCTTCAAGTATTATCTTGGATGAGAATAATACTCCAAAGTTCCGAGGTGCCTATTTAATTAAAGTGAGGCCAGATCATACAGCTAGCAAGTCGGCTTCTGAAGATGCTTTTTGTTGGATGGCTCCAGAGTTGCTTAAATGCAGCCCTCCCTTTTTCAAGTCTGGAGTCTTTAGTCTTGAAATCATCCTATGAGAAATATTAGTCGATGAAGATTATCCGTACGAAGAAGCGAAGGACACCGCGCTGATCAAAGAATGTGTACTTGGAGGCTATCGCGATCTCTTTCCACCTGACACGATGTCTAGAATTAGCCGTAAGAATATCAAAGATATTATTTACTGTAAAAATGCGCCCACTAATAATTGCAAAGACAAGTATTAGCATCTCGCACACTCCTTGCGTACTACTCCATGAGAAGGCAGTGCCACTATTTTGAGATTTGGTAGTGCGCGAAGGAGTGTGCCAAGAATCTCCCTTATTCATCTTCATTTAATAGACGACGTCAGATATTTGTAGTCGTCACTCCTCGTATATATTCAGGTCGTACCCTCATTTATTAGCTCTTCTTTCTTTTTAAAAGTAAATGTAGCCAATTGACTCTTTACTGTTTTATAGCTATATAAGCATAAATATCACAAAGGCCAACATCCGCAATTTTGAAAGCGTGGAGTTCGCAAAGAAAGAATTTACAAGCCAAGATGAGATTTGCTTTCTCCAACGCGCGAGGAAAGAAGAAAAGAGGCCCAGGAACCGATATTGACTTGGAGCTATTATTTGCTGAAGCGAAAGCCGCCACGACGATAACAGTAGCTGGCTAGAAGGCCCTTACTATCTCTGTCCAACAATTGCAAAATGCGCACATCTCTGAGCAGGTCAGCTCTCAAATAGTGTAAAAAATACAAAGAAATTGCACGTACTGATAGCGTTTAATAGGTCATCATGAATGATAATGATGATGAAAGCTTGAATAGCAGCGAAGAACAAGCTGATAGGGCCTCGGGCGACGACCGTTATGACTACAATTTACCACGACGTTTCTGCGAGTATAAATGTGCAGCAGAATTTTCAGCAGAAGAGCGCGGATTTTATGTTGATGATCACCTTCAAGAGATCCTGTAAGTTCGATAATCCTCGTTGTAACATAGAAGGCCAATACTCACCTTGGTTATATAGGTCTTTGTTGAATGTTCTCTTCTTGAAAGAAAATGAATACAGCGAGCAGCAAATCGTTCACTCTGGACTTGCGAACTTGGAAGCGCTACGCAGTACCATAGTTGACGGATATATGGATTCAAGCGTGAAATTTGATACCAACTTATACAATCAAATCTCGGCAGTATTGAGCGTAAGCCTTGGTGAAGGGCTAATTCTGTGTATTATTCAATTGTTGACAATTGCTTTTTAGAATTTTCGCTTCCAAGACGGCACACGAGTAATGAACGCGCAATTTCATAGTAGGCGTATGTACCACTGGCGACAAGCCGGGCGAGGAAAAACGTAATCGAGAAGCCTGTAGAAATCATGTCATGTTACTCTTCTTTTCCTAAAATAATTTGACCCAACCATAAGTTTGGAAAGCAATAGCCGCATTGAATTTGTTGACAATGATGGCATTTTTGTTGAAGATAGTTAACTAAAGCGTATCCATACACAAACTGTAGTTACTGGCGCTGCCTTGGAATATTTTAGCTTCTCCATGGCCAATGCTAGTTTCATACTGCAACTGGCACTTTTCAGAAAGGATGGCATCGGGTCGTGACTTGCCACCTGCCTCTAGCAAGGTGTCCGTCAAGCGTAGATGGTCTTGCCTGTCAGGATCAGAAATCAAACCTGACAATATGGAATCATTGGTTTGACATACAGATATATCTTCAACTTATTCTTTTTCATTTTCACCGATGACACTATTATCTTTGAGAGGAAAACACTACATGCACCAGGAGATGCATCAGAAGTTAGACTAATTTTACGGACGCTACCTCCGGATACTACCTATGATGAAGTTCAACAAATCTTTTGAATGTGTGGCACCACGCTAAGCATGACTTTATAAAGTCACCATCTTGGCTTGTGTTTCTTTTTGAGAAGAAAGAGATAAAAAAAAAAGAAAAAGAAATGTTGTTATTGATGTATTTTGATTTTATGTTGTCAGGTGTTATCAACAAAGAGCCAAGATCAGTCATGTGCAATTGTGATAAATTCATACTTTATATCAATGAGCAGCCTTAGGTTAGGTAGAAACTTTGGTAGTGTGAAGTTGTAGAGACAACAAAAGTAGCGATCGTAATATTAACCGCTTTGTCGTGAATTTTTTCATACATATAGTGTTTCCCTTTTTTTGGTTTTTTGACTCTCTTTTTTATGAAAAAAGGTAAAAAGAGACTGGATGACAATTGTGGAATTGCATCGAGATGAATTTCTATGTTACTGATGTATGCGCCATTCTTTACTAGCGCATTGATCGGCCTCACATTGAGTTTCTCTCTACACGTCGCTTAGTCTTCATTCATATTTGTTTCCTGTACGATGTGGATTCCTTGACTTTTTCAAATTATGATAGAAATGAGCCTCTCTGTATATGGCTTTTGACACCAGTGATTGATCAAGTTTGCTAAACTTTTTTTGTGCAAGATATCTCTGACATTGCACTCGACTTTGCTTTTTGACTGGGTAGCAACACGTTAGATACTGTGGTGATGATACAATAGAACAAGGTGAATGTGACAACTGAAATCAGTTAGAAGAGCCGTAGCACACAGGCTCCACCATATTGGAATGAAACCCTCGCCTCTGAATGCAGGTATTCATAAAATCAAGGTAGTCATTCGAACAATTGAAATGTACGACCATACTCTTCTTTTTTTTGCCACTATATTCTCCGGATTTGAATCCATTTGAGAAAGCCTAGTCAAAAATCAACTCTATGTAGACAAGGCTCTGTTGACAAAGAATAGCAATTTGGCCAACGCATACAAGAAGCAGACTTTTTGTTGCAAGAGCGAAAAATAAATGAATGTAAGCGAAAAACGTATTTGGTTGCACGACTTTTTATTGGCCAGGGCCAGCATCAAAAAATGTATTTTTAAACGCAAAACACTGCATTCCATAGCAAAAAGAGCAATGGTCTTCTTTTTCTAAGCAGGTGATTGCTATGTTACCAAATCATTCAGTAGCTAAATAGTTGCAGTAAAGTAATTCAAGTGTAATTTTTTTTGAAATATTGATTGTACTCATGATAACAGTAGGAGTGTTTAGTTGCAAGCTTGTTTTTACTGATATTGATTCATAAACAATTATTCAGCCATAGTTCACCTTTAAGTAAACAGTTTGTATACATGTTCTTTTTGAAAATTCAAAGCTGTGAAATGTGTTCCTGAATTTATAAGCCCAACTCAGTAATGTTTTTTATACTCTCTTTTTAGTAAAAAAGCATTATACAAAAAAGATGAGCTTGATTTTTAAAGAGATAAATAAAAACACTTTAAGAAACTGTTGATTCAAATAGTATATGATTAAAAGCACAAAGCATTCCATATCATATCTACTATTGTCTGCTTTATCTACAGATGATATATATTTGTAGATGAATCCAGAACCAAAACACCAAAGTAAAGCAAACCTCTTGTATTTTTTATATTAAGTTGTCCATAAGATATTGATAATATCATCTTTTTTTATCTGCTTCATAAAGTAGACTATAAAAGTTCTTTGTCAATATCAAGATGGCATTTTTTTTTTTTAAAAAAAAAAAAGGTAGTGAGTAACGGAGGAAACACTAAATAGTATAGTTTGCTTTGGTTACACAGGGTTCTTTTTGTCGCATTTTGCATGTAACATGAAGGCAGACATGGATCTACCCACAAGTTCACAACAATAACAGTAGTGAGCGTCTTCTTTTTGTGTATTCTTATTAAGCAAGAATAAACGTAAATTAGCGTACATATGATTTTTATACATTACAGATTGTCTATAGGGCAATATACAGCTTGCATAACAATCAAATATCATTTACTGATTATTTTTTGAAATATGTGTAGATGATGAAACATTGTTTATGGTTAATTTATATCTCCGATCGAATGGACACGACAAACAAAAAAGGAGGATATGCTAAAAGCTCATGGTCCCCCAAAATAAGCATAGTTTGATGTAGCTATTGCCCCAAAAGCCATCTCATGTGAATGGCTATTAAAATTATTTAATAAATAAAAAAAGGGAAAACTATTATGCATTAGTCTGTAATCCTATTTGCTATATTGCTTTATTTCTTTGGTTGATTTCACGTTCCTTTATTGTCAAGAATGCTGTCGATAAAAAGATATGTGTAAGATGTGTAATTATTATTCATAGTTTAAATTATCTTTTATCATTGGTTGATTTTAAGTAGCCATATGATCACATGCATCTCCTGATATTCAATGTTACTATAGCAATCACTTTACAAAAAGAAGAATTTTATATGTTCTATTGAGTCTTGATGAGTCACGAATTAAATGGCACACTCAATTGTGTTTATTTTTGAAGACAGGGACAGATGCATTATTTCGGAGTTTTAATGATTTTATGTTTGTATTCCTAGTGAAGTCATACACCAAGCATCACAATGAGTTTGATGTCAAGCTGTGGGATTGATTTTATGACAAAATATTAAAAATCATACTGTCCGTATTTTGTTTGTTAATACAAATGGTGGTGAATGATGCTGTCTTTTTATCAGCTTTACTGTAGCAAAAAGTACCATCATATCATTTTACTTGCCCTGTAACATTGTATTGATTTAGCTATAAGTAACAATTTTTTTCTTTAAAAACCTAGTAAAAGATGAAGATATACACAATTATGCCCAAGGTCAAGCTTGTCTGTCAGAAATTTATTTTGTGACACATAATGACTGACTAGGGGGGTATCAATTAGCAATATGCTACATTTGAAAAGCATATTTATATACAAACCTTTGTTCTTAGTTTGAATAAAATGCTACTTTTTATCGAGATGAAAGACTATAAAGGATTTTAAAAGGAGGTTAAAATCTCAGATCTGATATGAACAAAAGGAGAAAAAAGTTTCTTTTTTGCATAGTAGAAATTGATATGAGCCCCTGATTTATGACACATTAATAGCAAAATTTATTCTTTTTTGACACAAAAAAAAAGGGTCGCATTTTTAACTTGTATACGAACAAACATGTAAAATTACCTTCTTTTTATGAACTCTATTGTAAATAGCTTTTATGTAAATAAAGCAATCGTTTTTTCGGGTATAAGCAATGCTATAGACTGTCAATAGAGGCCACTAAGCATTTATAATGTGTGAATAAGAGAATATAACATAGGAGCTCAATGTATATGAGATATATACTTTGATCTTATCTATTATAGCAGGAAGACAAGGCTAACTCTTTTGCAATGTCACAAAGTCAGCTTAGCTCATTTTGCTCTAAATTATTAAATGTGATTGAGAAAGTAATCTCTCAGACAAAGTGAGTACATATATCAAAGACAAACAAATATTCTCTCAAATATAAAAAAAGGAGTATATAAAATCAGACAAAAAACAAGACTATATTTTTATGAAATATACATTTTATTTAATATTTTTACAAATTAAAGAAAGTAACTCCTGTTCATCCTTTTGCTTTAGTAAATGCTCAATTTTTTGATATTTTTGGTATTTTTTTGATATATAAGATGGGATAGGAGATGAACTAGGTGATATATTTGACTATAAAAAAAAGAGGGTTAAATCTGCATAAAATGTTTAAAATAGTCTAATTACCTTGGTAGATGTAATATCTTTTATAAGTGACAAAATGAGATGCGGATCTCGTTTACCAGAATGAAAATGAGCCATGTTATTCAGCCACTAAAATAAAAAGAGTGAATGAGACCAGGTTAATTTTGTATTTAAAATATTTACGGTATCAATTTCATCTTTATTATGTTCTGGTGAGCTGAAAAATGTGATTGGTGTGCTCACTTCACTTGTAGTGACTGATTCATCTTGGCTATAAACATATTTAATAGCTGTTTATAATGTTTAGTTCTTTTTATATACCTTTTTGAGGTATCAAACTGTATTGGTTCTTCAGGTAACATATAGACTGTACCATCTTTATTAACCAGTATATCAACATTTGGACGATGATAATCATCCAAATATAAAAATGGCTCTGGTTTTGGTTCTTTTTCTTCTTGTTCTTGCTCTTCTTTAATAATAATGTTGAAATAATTTTTATATACACAAGGGGAATGATCAACATGAATGATCTCAGGATGTTTTTGCTGTCTTGTAGGTTTCTAATATGAATGTTAAACTAAAGAGCTTAAATATAAGAGCAATTCTTACAATGACATTCTCAATATGGTTCGGACACCTCCATCTCCTAGAAGAGTTGGGGGGACCAGCCATAGGAGGGGTTAGACAGTCAAGATGCCAGTATAAAGAACAATAATCACAGGCAATCATTAATTTTTTGAATGCTATCTTTCTACAATGATAGCACCTTATAAATTTTCCATTTTTATCCTTCATTGTGCTATAGTCAAGTATGTCTGGATTGATGCTATTTCCGTTTCTATGATTGAATTAGTCATTTTTGGTGTAAGGCTTTTTCTTTTTGTAAAAAAAATCTCTTTACTTGTATCGACTAGGCTTAATTTGTGTTGTATCTATGTAATTACCAGAGTCATCCAAAGTAACTATGGTCACCGTGTAAGTATATATATAGATTATCACATCTATACATACCTCCTTGAAAGAAATCAATGATTTCATCAGGTAATTTATATGATTTTGGATTCTGTATACTAATATCTTCTACCAGTTGCTTAAATAACCCTTTAGGTCCTTTTGGAATAGGTTTTCCCTAATAACGATAAGTGACTTTATCATGACCTCATAGCTTTTTTTACTTTACTTGTTTATATTCACACTCATTACAAAACCATTTACCAGTCAATTGTTCAACATCAGTTGAATCCATGGGTGGTTCAACACATGAAAAGTGAAATGCATTTGGACATGCATCACAACAAAGAAATTGGCCTACACCGCCACAAGCATCGCATAGATCGTGATTCTATAATAAAGTGAGTAGAAATATATAAAAAATATTTTGTAATATATTTACACCCATATTTTCCAACTGCTGCATTTTTTGTCTTTCCAAGCTTATATTTTCAGTGTCAATTTTTTTTTTGTATTTTTTATTATTTTGCTTACTTTGCATTCTTATCTGTCTGAATGGCTTCTGGAGGATAGTCTAATTTTCTTTTTAAAGGTCGTATATCATCAGGAGAAGAACTGGATGATTCATGTCGTTTCATGATACGTCAGAATAAAGGGAGTTCTAAAGTGATGCAGAGCAACAACAACAACAAAAAAATAAAAAAAGGGGAAAAAAGAGAATAAAAAGTTTAAATTTATGCGATCTTTTATATTTTTTTAAAATGAAAAAAACGAACCTTTTACGGAAAGAGCTATTTGCTATACCAGTTTTTTTTAGGGACCACCCCCTTTCTTTGTTGTGAGAACAATAAATTCTTTCTTCTTTATTTGTTTCAATTGATGTGCTTTTTAACTATTCTTTACACTATTTTCCTTCTTTTTTTTTGTTATAGCCTGATTTGAAGTAGCATTGCCTTTAAAAAAGAACATATTTTTTCATTTCTATCTTTTTTTTTTTTTTTTTTTTT